GACCACACGCTCCACCTTCACAGATTCTTGTGGAAGATCAACATTGCTTTTTCCATGCCGCAGAGCCATATTTCACTTCAAACACACGTGTCCCACTGGGCGTGCCAAAATGTTTCCTCGGAAAAACCAAATGCCACCGCCGGTGCCGAATTCGTTCCCGGCGATGTTGATTTGATGTTTCGCGGTGGAAACTCTTGCGGTGCCGATTGAACGGATGCACCACTATTTCCTGACCAAATACCACCGCCGGCGTGCCAAACGACGATGTTGATTTGATCGAATTAATGCGCCACTGACTTCTAATCAAGACGACTGTGACTACGGTTCACACCTCTCCAAACTACGTTCGAACGAGGGTGTTTGAGTTTTTGAGGAATCTACGTTACGACTACTCCTATGGAGATTCCTGTGGAGAGCTCCGCGACTACACTACGACTATGACTATGGAGATCCTTCCTAGAAGGAGAGCTCCGCGAAGGAGCTACAGAGAAAAATATAAGTTTGACAGAGTTGTTCTGTGTTGATTTTGGTTGTCCCCTCTCTCTCCTTGCAGGGTTGATTTTATCTAAAACCAACTTCGTAGTCTTCACGCTCTGTAGAACTGCTTCCTCAACTGCCCCGTCCTGAAATCCCACGTGTCTCAACCGCTTCGCTCCTCAAACTGCTTCGCGTGAACTTTACGTGAGTTGTTTTCATGATCCCGCGATGTCGTTTCCTTTCCCAAACAGCTCCGCTTGATTCTACCCGCGACATCGTTTTAATATTAAACGACTCCGCTTCCAGCCTTGTCGTGTCGTTTTCTTTCCCAACCAGCTTCGTTTGTTTTTTTCTTCCCCGACACTGTTTATTATTAAACACTGTCGTTTGCTAGTATAGCGGTACCGTTGGGCTTCCTCGCGGTACCGTTTTTAATTCCGCGGCACCGTTTTAGCTCTCCTCGGTGCCGCTTCTCCCAATCCAACAAGGAAAAAATAACAATTAATTAGAGAAAACTCCTTCTCCAATACCCACGCGCGGCCCTTTTTTATTTTCGGCCAGCGGTGTCGTTTCCGGTGTTGCGGTACCGCTGAGCTTCCTTGCGGTACCGTTTTTCTGTTTCGCAGTATCGTTTTAACTCTCCTCGACACCGCTCGACTCCAAACGACACCGTTCTTTACCCGCGGTATCGAATTAAATGCCGAGACTAATTAATGCGGCATTTAATTCAGGCCACATTAATTTTAGGTGTCAACACTATCAGAGCTTCGAAGCTAATGCTCCGCTCTTACAATACAGGGAAAAGAAGGAAGAGAAGAGAAGAGAAGGGCTTTTGATGAGCTCATCTATCCATGATGATTGATTTGATTGCGATCATTCATACCAAACCCACATTGTAAAACAAAAGTAGTGATCAGTTCAGTGCCCTTTTCCCATCACCAAATTCCACCACTTGTAACCAACCAGATTCCTCCGTATAAAGCCTCTCCACGCACTGTCTAATTATTTCACTTGTTGGCTGTTGCCTTCAATCACTCTAAATATTCCTTCCCTTTCACATTTTCACCGGCTAAATTACACGTTTGCTCACTCAAATTATATAAATATTTTATATTTGTCATCCGAATTATTTTTATTTCTTATTTGTCACTAACTTTACGAATCGTTTCACCTTTGGTCACCAGCCACTAGTCTTCGTTAACTCCATTAGTTTTTTGATGACATGACAAACGGGACTGCTGACTGGACCATTAAAAAAATAAAAAAATTTAAAATAATCAATTTAGGCAATTCCCGCAGCGACCTCCAATGGCGCCGACGCCGCGCAAACCCATCGCGCTGTGAAATTGGAAGCTCTGCAACTTGGAGCCAGTGAAATTGAAGTCTTACGACACCCAGAAGAAGGTTGAACCGGATAAAGAAACTGTTGTTGTCCCCATTCCCCAAAGCTTGCTTCTCCCCGAAACCCATAAAGAGGGTTTTGTCGCCTCCTCAGAGAAGGTCCGGCGGGAAGGAATGGAGGTGCAAGGAGTGTTGGACGATTGAAGCCGGCGCCGGGGACGGGGATGGGGCAGAAGTCGGAGTCGGGTGGTGGTGGGGAGTGTTGCTACGGTGGTTGGATTCCGCGGCGACGGTGGAGGTTCGGTCGGTTAGGGAGTTTGTAGAAAAGAAATTGGGTTTTTTATTTTTTTTAATAAATGTAATAATGAATTGGAAAATATAAAGGTTTATTTTTTTATTTTTAATAATTTTTTAGTCGTCACGTCACTAAGTTAACGGTCAACTTTGAGAGTTGACTGCCAAATCAGCCAAAGTTAACAGAGTTGGACGAAGAGTGACCAAACGTGAACGGTTTCAGTAAACTGAAGTACCACCAATGGATTTAAATATTTCGAGTGACCAAACTTGAACATTTTTTGTAATCTCAGTGACCAACCATACAATTAACCCTATATATAATTTGCCTCAATAGTTTCACTTATGTGCCTCTAAAAGTATGAGATATACTACAAATATATAATTTACCTCAACAAGTTCCATTATGTGCCTCTAAAACTATGAGATATATTATAAATATATAATTTACCTCAATAAATACAACTACGTGCCTCTAAAAGTATGAGATACACTACAAATATATAATTTGATTGTCTATATACAACAAATGCGACTCTAACTACAACTGCCACCTTACAATTCTTTGATATCACTGATCATGTTGTTCTAATCCTCTTGACTAGCAAACAAGAATTAATTAACAACATTGTTGATCATTAACAATCGATAACATTCACAAACTAAAATGACTCAGCGAATTACTACCTACTTCCTCATGTATCAAACATAGTCAAATCACTCACTTATTTCAGAAAATATAATTTTCTTTCTTTTATATAATTTCAAAATAATATAAATTATAAAATGCTATTATTTAATATAAAAAAGTCTAACAAGATCCATTTTGACTACTTTTTATTGTTAAGAATTTTTATTCATAATTTATATTATAAGTCATTTATAGTCATTTTACACAACCTCTCATATTAAAAATTACTTCTAATAATTTTTCACCAAAACACTCAACTGTTTTTTTTTTTTGAAAAATACTTTTCTAAAAGTTCCTTCTAGAGTTGACAATTTTACCCAAACCCATGGGTATTTTACTATCCAACCCAATTGGGTTGGGTATGAAGTTCAAATATATGGTAAATGGTAGAGTTTTATTGATTTATACCCAAACCCATTTATTTGAGTTTAGTTGGGTTTTTAGTTCATGGATATGGATTTGACTCCATACCCATTTGCAAATTACAGTTTGGTACCTAAACTTAATATGTCTTTAGATTTAGTACCTAAATTTAATTTTTTGTATATAAGTCCTCAAAATATCGATAGAAAATTACATTTTAGTACCTAAATTTTTTTGTATACATTTTTATACTTAATTTTTTTAAATTTTACAAATAGGCCCACTTTTTGTATGTGTTGTTAGAAAAAACCTCAAGTAAATGGGTATCCAAACCCAACCCATGCCCATTTAGAGTATGGAAGCAATATCCAAACTCACCCCAAACCCATATATACCTCACCCATATGGTCATACCCTACCCATAATTTATGGGTTTACTTGGGTTTGGGTAAAATTAGCAATGAGTGGGTAAATTGTCATCCCTACCTTCAGCCAGAAGCGATTTTTGTAAAAGGTACAAGTACAACTGGTACAAACTAGCCCAATGTCTGCCCATTTCCTACCTTTGCTATTAAAGGTTAAATTTGTTGATATTGGTAATGGAGCGTCCCCCCTCCCCATCCATTTTATTCAATAGAATAAATTTCACAAGCAAGCAAGGACAAGGAGATTTTAAACATGTCATCTCAATCTCTCTCTCACTTCCACAACTTATCTCTTCAATTAACAATGCAGTCAAAAGTGCAATTCTAATTAGAAGCATAAAACTGCAAGCTTTTAAGTTTTAGAGCGTAGATTTTGACTACATTTGTAAGAAAAAATCACGATTATACATAGAAGCGTTTAGGGTGACCTAAAAAGGTAAAAGCATAAGGTTTTAAGTTTGAAATCGCGATTTTAACTGCAATGCCAATTACTGCCCTTATTGCTCTCTCAAACACTCTTCAATATTTGCTCCTGTTTTCCGGCGAGGAAAAACTTGTGTTTGAACATAATGGATGCACCTTTGACTTCTTGAACAACGATAATTACACGGTTCACTCCTCTCCGAACAATGTTCGAACGAGGGTGTTTGATGTTTTTGATGGTTTTTTGGGAACAAAGCTAAGTTACGTTACTCTACTCCTATGGAGGTTCAGTGAGAGCTCCAGAAACTAAAACTATGGCTAATTTGCAGAGAAAATGATAAAGTTTGACATTGTGCGTCAAATATTTGGTTGTGGAACCCTTGCTTCGTCTTCGTTTCTCCTATTTATAGCCATCCCTTGTAACCCCCTTGAGGTGGCATCATGTTGGCTTTCTTCACCATTGCCAACATGCTTGATACCCGGCATGACCCCCTTTTGCATGATGTTATGTTTGACCCCCCTGGTGACTTTCTTCACCACAATGGCTATGGACTCAGCGTTGCCCTTCTTCCTTTGCCAACATGTTTGATATCCAGTAGGCGGCTAGACCCCTTTGCGTCTCGTCATACTCGACTCACCTTGGATGCCATCATGCTTGACCCCCTTGGAGGCCACGGAGACGGGTCGGCCATCGTATAGAGAAGAAGGGGTTTGGCCACTTAGGCCCAAAAACCCAACCCAACAAGGCCCAACTAGCTCTTTTAATCATTAATGTGGAGCTGACCTTATAAATCACTACCACTCCTTGAAAATAATCAATGTGGTATTGAGTGATTTTTTTAGTGGTAAACAGCTCCTTTCGTTCACTCTCTACTGCCCCTCAACCAAATACCATCCACACTGCTCACAACAAGGTGGCTCCGTACTTCATCAAGCAAGTGATTGAGTTGAGTTGGGCAAAAAGCCAAAAACCGATCTCATTTGTTTGTGTTCTTATACAATTGAAGAATGGCTACATAATCACTAATTATGATTTTACACAGTGCTTTAGTTCACTTTCATTACAACTCATCTAACTTCTTCTTAGGCTAGTAATCAGATTAGCTCGAATATGCGCCTCTTAATGTTACTTTAATGTACATTTGGCCTATTGTAGATCTCAAGTAATGCACACTATCATTTCTCACTGAAACCTAGGGGTGGGCATTGGGTGGGTCGGGTGAATTTTGACCATAAAATGCACCCACCCGCGCTTAAACGGATTGATAATTTTTAACCCACCATCCACCCACATTTAGTATCGGGTTGGGTCGGGCGGATGGTGGATGATGCGGGTGGGTTTGTGGGTTCACCCACATCACAATGTATATAATATAAAGGAGTCAATTTGACATGATAATTGGTGAAGAGAATCATCGAGGGAAACAAGAAGTTGAAATAAGGCGAAAAATGTCGAATTAGTTCTTAAATTGGATAGAAATTCTATTATGAAAGAGTTTTCTACAGATTGAGACGATTATTAGGTGCAAAGAACTAAGAAAAATAATTCCACAAAGGAAAGAGCGGTGATCTAGGCACAATAATTAGAGGAAAAAGTAAAGGGAAGAAGAGTTATTTGGAAGGTTGGCTTTGAGGTTCAAACTCTAGGAGCAGTCCGAGTTTATATCTAACGTCGCCACTCTACTCTCTCTAGCGCCAACGACTTTGATCTTTTTGCTGTTGGGTTGAACGGGTCACCCGCACACTCACCCACACCCACCCACCACCCGGCGGATGGCTTCCAGAGCAACCCGTCACCCACCCACAGACCCACCCACTTAATGAAATTTGGGTCAAATGCGGGTGGGTCGGCCCAAACCCGCGGATGATCCGCCCGCATGCCCAGCCCTACTGAAACCCCATTATATTATGTTTTTCATGAGTGAGATACTCGTGAAGTCAGAATCAAACTCTTTTTTTTGTCAATACATAACCAAACTCATTCGTGACCAAAAAAAAAAAAAAACTCATTCGAGAAGATCAACATGAAGACCAGATGGCCCAATTGTATTGTTGCGCGACCACTCGGCCCATATCTTGTCACCCATCCAGCCTCCTCCACACTAGCCATAGTCATGGGCTGGCGAAAGATCTGTCGGAAGATGAAAACAAAATCACCCTACAGAAAAGGAGAGAAAGTAGAGAAATGAAAGTGAAATTAGCACACTAAAAACTAATACTCTAATTCCCCGCAAATTCAAAACCAAGAGGAAATCTCACTCACTCACTCGCTCAAATCATACAACAGCACGCCATTTCCACACTCACGCACCTGAAGGAAGAAGAAGAAAAGCCACAAATTTTGGGTCAAAGCACATTCCTTTCCCCCCATACTATGCCGCCACCATTACTACTACTTACTGCACAATCATACATAATGAATGGGACTGACCCTCTTGCATTGACTGCTACATCTCCCAAAGACTGACCAAAACCATCACCATCACGTCGGCCTATTCTCCGATGTCGTCGTCAAGCTGCCACTACTACTACTGCCAACGACGCGATTAGACTCCCCGCCAACTCTAGCCGCCAATGCCAGAACCTCTGGCGACATCTCCCAGCTGCCACTCTTCCTCCCCCAGCTCGACCTCCTCGGATTGCCACGTTCCCCTCCTACTCCTGCTTCCTCCACCGCCGTTCTTATATCTGGTGACAGCTCCCCGAGCTCGCCTTCTTTCACTGTTGTCCGCTCATTGCCAGACAGATGTCCTTCGCCATCCTGGTCCCCACCCAGGCCGAGGGTGCCTCCCATATCGCCGCCCCACACGTTCTTTCTCCCCATCTCTATGTCGTCAACTGCTTTCCCCATGTTTGGGCTCATGAACCCTCCGCCGCCTATCGATCTAGCTGGCAGTGGAGGTTCTCTGGGCACATTGGCCGTGAAGTCGTTCTTGGATGGTGGGATGCTGGAGCAGAATATCTCCTTGAAGTTGTCTGTGACTCCCTTGTTGTAAGGGTTGGCACGGTTGTCGTATCGGTATCTGAAGTTCTCATAAGTTGTCTGCAAAACAAAATTATCAGAAGCATTGCGTGAATTAGTGAAATCAATCAACCAGATAATAATTGCTCTAAATGGGGCATCTGAGAAACGAAGGCATACCTGATTGGTGCTAATTAGGTATAAGTGGAAAGCTGTGAGGCCACCAACGAACCACATTGATATGAAGGTATAGATTATGAGAACGATGGATGCAGGGGTTTTGAGCATAGCTTTCACGATCGAGATATCCTCCGAGGACATGATTCTCCTGATGTAGACCCAGCTGAATGCAAAGACGTATATACATAGCAGGGTCGTTGAGAAGACAAACATGAAGAAGAATCTGTAGTTTCTCTGCATCCAAAAAACCAAGTTTCAAGCATCATCATCATAAGCAGTTAATATAGCAAGTAGTATATTTGCTGGAACAAGTGTGTTAGTATTATGAGCATTACATGCCTATACGCAATTTATATAGCACATAGACAAAGTGTCCGTATGAGCCTAGTACTTTTCATCACTTAAGGTAAGTGTCAACCAAAGGTTATAACCTAAAGCTTCTAAGTTCACTAAATAAATCAGAGCACTGAATCATAACCGAGATAAACCGCTAAAGATAACCACTTTGGACAAAAGCTTAACTTACCAAACCAATACATTGTCCAACCCAAGGGCAGTGATGGTCAAACCGTTCTACACAGTTATTGCAGATTGAACAATGTGAGCAGCGAGGAGGCCGATAAAGCATGCATGTATCACAGTATTTCACTCTTACGGTCATTCCATTAACCTCCACCTCCTTGATACGTGGCAGACGTAACTGCGGAGTTTGGCCCGACCCAACATCTGCATTCCCCTCAAAGCCTTCGGGTTCTGGGGGATGCGCATTGCGGGGAATAATACCAGGATCTCTCCCGGAAGTTAGTAGCAGAAGAACCAAGTCCTGATGCAACATAAAATGTCATGAGCTTATCACTGTGACAGTAAATCTTCTGTAACCTATGATGTACACCATTCTTAGCAGAATGTACTACATATTTTGAGAGGTATACTATGAAAGTAAAAACCGGCAGAACACATTCTCTGATTAGGAGGAAAAATAACTCACATAAACAGTGAACACAACGGCCGCAACCATTATCGATATGCCCCAGTCATTTGGGAAGTCGTCCACTAGCTTTCTAGCAACAAAAATGCAGAAAACTGCAACTGGAGCCACAATCAGGAATATGGTAAGCGCAAGTGATCTCACATCTGGACCGAATATAAACCTCCCATTAAGAAAAAATATCTGCACAGACAAGTTTCACAAGTTAGCCTTATGGCATTCAACGAAATGGGCAATAATCAAACACAGAAGAGCAGCATAAACAATGAGCAACCAGTAAAGTCCCTTCCATTACAATTTTCAACCATCCCTATACTCAGCATTCAGTAACTTTCTAACAATTGTAATGCCTAGCTCCTATTAGCCAAGTAATGAAGAAGGCCAACCAAACCAATAATGCCCAGTGCACAAACAGCTCCAAAACCAAAATCCGTCTGCAAACCGATCAACTAAGTCCACATACAATTCATCATCTTATAGCTAAAAGTCCAGCAGCACTCAATGAGCTGAATTGGATTCAACAGAAGCACTCTAAGACTATGAATCGGAGGGAAGCAATCAGCACAAATTACAAAAAAAAGCTCATCCGCAAGGGGGGAAAGCACACTCACATTGCTGCCTTTCCAAGTCTGGTACACTCTCAAATCGGCCTGGTTACTACCTCCGGCGGATCCAGGATCGGATCTCTGAGGAGGCGGCACCACATACATTTTCTTCCCTCCGCTTCTCGGCAACACCTCCGGCCAAGCCCGCTCTTCCAGTCGCCCTTTTCTCCCGCGCAAAAAAAGAAGCCGCCTCCCTTTCAATTGAGGCGGGAAAGCATCCTTGTTAAAACCCTAGCCAACTAAACTAGCAGCAAGCATTCCAGCAGAAGGAAGAGAGAAGGAACAGAGAGCTGCAGCAGCAGCTCGACTTTCAGCTAACTGAACTCAGCTCCGCTCACAGCGGCTCCACTTCCCTCCGGCGAGCTAGGGTTTCCAACGGAATGCAAAGACCGGAGCGCTAGAATGGAAATGGAACTGAAGAAAGAAGACGACGACGGAGATAGGGTTAGGGGGAAAGGAGCTGCCGAGCTGGTTGTAGCTACAGAGAGGTTTAGAGAGAGAGAGAGAGTAAAGAATTATAGTAATGGTGGTGGAGGCATGTGTTTGTGTTTTTTTTTTTTCCTTTTTAATTTCCCCCTTTTCCAGAAAGGAATTGGAGAGAGAAGGCTAGGAGTAGGTAACGCGGCGCTATTTCATTGGGTGACAAAGGAGTCGGGTCCGGGTATGGGAGACTGGGTGTGAGAATCCGACTGGATCGGGTGTCGATCCGACTAGAAAATAAAAGCATGGAGCTTTTTAGAATACAATTACATTAATAGTCACTGTACTTTTGAGAGAATACAATTCAGTCTCTATATTTGATTTTTAACCATTGCTATGAAAGTCATTGTAGTGTTTGCCACAAAAATTTCTTTTCAAATTGTCCAAATTAATAGTTCAACGCGTTAAAAGTACAAAATAGTATCTCATATACAACAATTAGAACTCATTTTTGACTCACTACTTCCCTAGTACAAATTCATCATTCGGGCCAATGTCAAATTTTATTATTTGAATTTACCTTAAACCCTTCCTCCATCTGTATGATTGCTGATTGGGTAGTATAGATGATATTCTTATTATTTATAATCACAAAATTACACAATAATTTGAACAATGTGAAGAAATTATGATGATGATAATAGTGATATTTTGTTAGTAATTATAAGCTTTAGTGATGTGTATATTAAGTATCAAAGTTCAGTGACCATTTTACTAGTGACCCAACTCTGCTAGCGCTGGCCGAAGGCAGGCAGTTTGTAGACGACGAGCTCGGGCTGGCGGAAGGCGGGATCGGGATGTAGCGCAATAGGAGGTGGGGGAGAGGCTAGCAGAGAGAGCAGAGGACAATTATGAGGATCGCGACGGCGGGAGGTAGTCGGAGGTTTGTTTGGTTTTTTAATTTGATTTGAAATTAAAAGGACATTAAAATAATTCAAGAATTCAATCTAGTTTGGGCAATTCGATAGATTACGTATTAAGTTAGGACGATGGTTAGTAATTTTTATGACGACCTTTAACCATTCATAAAGTTTAGGGATGATTTTACTTATAAACCAGTCATTTACTAGAGTTTAGGGAGAATCTTTTTAATTGTAAGAGCATCCACGTTGATATTGCATTCTCAATTGCAAAATGACATGGCATTAGTGTTTGCAATTGCAAAACCAATTGCGATGTGGCTACCAATTGTATATTTGCAAGCTTGTAACAAATGCAATCGCATATACAAGTCAAAAAAGCCTTAAAAATGGAATTTTTTTTATTTTCTATTAATTTTTTTCTCTTTTACTTTATTTTTTGTAATTTAAATATAATATTTAATTACATATTTAATTGCAAGTAATTGCATTGATGTGGTGAATGAAAGTGATTTGAGGTGGATTGAAAAAAATTGAGTTGATAATAAAAATAAAAATACTATTATCTTTACAATTACATTGATGTGGATTCTCTAATAAAGAGGTCATTTTGTCATGGTTATTATGCCATTTAAGTCGAATTAAATAATAGTTAATGAAAAATAAAATATGGGACTATCATCAATGAAAATGACTAATTATTTTGTCATTTTCCTTTTTTTGTCGGCTAACTAGATTTGTCTTAAAAGTTAAAATAGAATATCTATTCAAGGATTGACAAATGTCTAATTAGTGGAGTGGTAGCTTTGTGGAATTATTTTTTTTAGGGTTAATTGCAAGTTTGGTCACTAGATTTACAAAAAAACGTTCATGTTTGGTCACTAAAAATATTTAATTCCATTCGTGGTCACTAAAATCAGTTCAATAATTCAAGTTTGGTCACTCTCCGTCCAACTCCGTTAACTTTTGATGACGTGGCAGTCAACTCTCATAGTTGACCGTTAAATGAATGACGTGGCAACTAAAAAAAATTAAAAAATTAAATTTAATCTTTCATTATTTCCACCTAATTTTCAAAATTATTTAAAAAAAACCCTGAAAAATAAGGTAAAATAAAAGAGAACTTCTATTCTCCCGCACGTCGACAGTTTTCCGGCAATAGATCTCTTCACCTCCTCTCTTCTCCATCCGGATCTTCTTTCCATAATCGACCCCCAACCCTCTCGCCTCAGATTCGAAGCTCCATTCCAAAGGTAAGCCCCTCAACAACAAGAAGCCCGCTCCCCCTCAACGAACGGATCTCGATGTCGGCAGCGCCCGAAACTCGCTTGTCGCCGTGCTTGGTTTCACGAATGAAGAAGGGAGAGGAGGTAGAGCTGCTTAATTGTTGTCGCTGCTTGTTTTAATATGGATCAAGAGGCAGAGAGAGAGATGGAACCGTCCGGAAGGCACACTTGCGAACTGGGTACATTCTGTATGGGTTCGGGTTCGATTCGGTGAACGATGATTATAAGCTTGTGAGGATGGCAAATTTCAACGCAGGAGCAATTCCTGGAAGATGATTTTGGATGGGGCTTTCTCGGAGCCTAGTCCGTCCACCCTGCGGGAAAAAAATTGCTACTGCTCGGCAACGGCGAGGAGGAGCAGGAGGAGGTGAACGTCGACAAGGAAGAATTCAGTCGCAACGGAGGAGGCATTCAATCGATGTTGAAGAAGCTGTTGTTAATAGGCGGCGGTGGTGGGAAGAAGAAGGCAAGGAAGAAGGGAGCGCGTCTGGAGGTGTACATCGGCGAGGAATTGCAGCGATTCCGCTATGTATCCGATTCTTGCATAAGCCCTTGCATTAGGTTTTGCATATATAGGAGAGGTATGGAGTTCTCGTTCCATTGGGTGCTGCCTTAAAGGGCTATGCTGGGCTAGTGGGCTTGAAGAATTAAATTGTCTCTTTTGATTTTGTTGCTAAGAAGTTTGATGAAGTGCCTCAGCCTGAGTATGAGAATGAATGAAGATATGAGCTACCAAGTTGATGTGGGGTTTTGAGAGAGGGGCAGCTGCCACGAATATATTGGGCGACAGTAAGGATTTAGGTATTATAATTTTTATTTATTTATTTATTTAAATTTATTGTGCAAATGAGGTGGAAATAGTAAAGATTAAATTTAATTATTTTTTAATTGCCACGTCACTCATTTAACAGTCAACTATGAGAGTTGACTGCCACATCAGCAAAAGTTAACGGAGTTGGACGGAGAGTGACCAAACTTGAATTATTGAACTGATTTTAGTGACACGAATGGAATTAAATATTTCTAGTGACCAAACGTGAACGTTTTTTGTAAACACAGTGACCAAACTTGCAATTAACCCATTTTTTTATATAGATTTTAGGTCAATGTGTATCTAATTGAGGTTGTCAAAATTGAGGATGCTATAATAGAATGGGGACATTTGATGGAAATTGGATACAAAAGAGAGAAATAAAACAAAAGAGTTAAGAATAGTAAGAAAACTTAACTTTGGCTAGCTTCTTCTACTTCAAGAAGAAACTTGCCATTATAGAATGGCAACTTTAAAAATACTAGGAATGAATTTCCTTTCTATACTCTATATACATAATATTTCTATATATCATAGGGTGTAATGATGTGTAGACTTGGCTTGCAAACACCAAAATCTAAAGAAATTAGAAATCATAGAATTAGGAAGAGGAGAAGAAGAAGATGATGATGGTAGGCTTGGTGGGGATATTTAAAGCTCATGATTACCTGTCGAAAGAGAGTTTATACTAGTGTAGCTTTGAAAAAGGGTAAATTTTATCTGGTATAATTATTTGGTGTATAATCTTTTTAGTTGCGGTAGGTTTCATGGGTGCAATCTAGTGATAAGGGTCGTGATTCATGAGCCAATTAGCTTTTTTAATGTGATCGACAATATTGTTATTAAGAGTATTTTTTAGAACTTAATAAGTGTGCATTAGCGAATTATCCAAATAAGTTTACTGGTCTTTATAACTTAATGGACTTGAGCAATCCGATCTCTATATATATTAAGGAGTTTAAACCAACTCTATTTATCTAAATTGTCAAAATAGATGGCCTATACCATGGTGAAATTAATTAATAGTTTGACATTATAATAATAGTGAAAACTCCCACACAACACAAAATTTTGTAGGTTTTTGTTTGGTAACTCATGGGGCACGCAGGTTTTGTTTGGAGTAGTGGTGTTTATTCTTCTCTTAAAGAAAGTCAGATTTTCAGGGTGATCACTAACTAAGTACGAAAACTGCAAAGCCAACTATCAATACTTATAATAACACATATGTCATCCAAACAAATGATGCTTGCTCGTAAAATTAAAAAATTACTTACACAACTATGTATTGGGGAATATTTATGTGTCCAGCTTCTTTGTCTTATTCGAAATCTGACAAGTTTATCTTGAGCCGTACAATAAATAGGTGTTACTTGATTCGTAAGTAATATGGATGAGTATTTTGGTATCCTTTTCAGAATTTTATCCTTGTTTAATGGCATTATATCTAAAATTGTTCCAATGTTGGATTGAATTGTTTATTCTCTTTATTTAGGCATGTGTAAGAATGAGTGATTCTATTTCGCTTGTGCCTTTACTAATTAATTCATGATATAATCCGTGCTCCAATGTCATTTTGAAGTATTTGGAAGGCCCTTAAAGTTAAAAGTGCCTGCACATTGTTGAACCCTGAAAGTATTCAAAGTTCAGGTGCAACTCTTATTCACCAAACTCATGAACGACCATATTCTTAACCAGCCACTCATTCATACACGCCGACATTGCTTGATGTGCCAGCAGCAAGCCCTACAATACAGAAAACAGGCCTACGATTCATTTCTAGCTAGTGCAGAGGAAGATTCTCGCAAGAGCGCAGAAGATTAATTTGCTCTTCTTTCTTGCTGTACAAGGTAGGTCATCTTCCCCTATCCTCACATCTTCATTCTTTAGGTGTTCCAGTATTTGATTGGTTGCTCTCCCTGCTGCTAAACTCTCCGCAAATGCTCCAACACCCTACTTACCTTTTTGAAGCATATCTACCCACCTGAACACAACAAAAACTCTCTAAATGTTAGATTGTTATCTTCCTCGTCAAATATGTTGTTGCACTACTCAGCTTGTATCCTGTGAAAAACCAAAAACAACACGCAAAAAAAAAAAAAAAATCGAATAGTATATTACTTGGTGCCTTCCGAGCCATTCCTAGCTTCGTGCCTAGGTGGCTTCTTGTTGTCTCTCTGAATCTTGCCCCACAATTTGGCTTCCTCGATATCAACCTCACGATTCAAATCCTTGTTCTCTACTACTGATTTGACTGCTTTCGTCACTACATTTTCGTTCTGGTTTTGATCAGCGTCGAGCCATCCCAACCCTGCGTTACTAGCCTTCTTAGCATCTTTCGACTTACTCGATCGAGCCAACAAGTAATCCATCGCACCAACCAGCTCGCTCGATGTTGGCCTGAAGCTGGCTTTGTCAGATAGACATCTCAACACAACCTCTATGGCCTTATTATACACAAACTTTGAGTACTTTCCTTTCAGCAATGGATCCGCCAGCTCCAACCAATTGTTCTTGTCTTTCAGCAGAGGAAGAGCCTGCAACAATCAACAATCTAATGAATCATGTACTAGCTAATTGTGGAATGGTAAGATTTTAGGACGAATCCCATTGCAAGACGATGTTCTTACCCATTGGGTTAAATTCCTGGACTTACTATCCACCTGATCAACTGCTCTCCGCCCAGTAATTAGCTCCAGCAAGAGCACCCCAAAGCTATAGATATCTGTCTTCATGGTTAATTTGCCAGTGTTGGCATACTCAGGGGCACAATACCCATAAGTTCCCATGATCCTAGTGGAGACATGAGATTTATCTCCAGTTGGACCGAACTTGGCAAGCCCGAAATCAGACAACTTGGGTTGGTAATCTTTGTCCAGCAGAATGTTGGAAGATTTGAGGTCTCTGTATATCACTGGTGGGCTTGCTGAGTGCAGGCATTCCAATCCTCTTGCTGTTCCAGCAGCTATCTTTATCCTAGTCTTCCAATTCAGTGGTTGCATCCCGTTTGAAAGATCTATAAAAGTACACCAGTTATACAAAATGGGTTTTCTACTTTGTTTTCTGGATAGTAGAAAGGAGAGTGTGTTATGTCATAAGAAACGAGAGTAAGGTTAACTAGAGAGTCAGATTTACCAAAAAGGCGGTCTTCTAAGGAACCCATGGGCATGTATTCATAGACGAGAAGACGTTGAGACCCCTCAGCACAGTATCCAACCAACTTGACAAGATTCGGATGGTGCAATATAGAGAGCATAAGAACCTCCACAAGGAACTCCTTTTCTCCTTGATATCCAGTTGAATCCAGTTGCTTAACAGCCACTGACTGCAACAAAGAGAAAAAAGTAGCAAGAGGGTCATATGTAAGATGAAAACATCCAGCACAACACATGAGACTAGGAGTTTACCTGGCCGATTCTTTTGAGTTTGCCTTTGTAAACAGCACCGAAGCCACCTCTTCCAAGATAAGCATCCGGTGCGAACCCATTGGTCGCAGCTTCTAGCTCTTGGTAGATGAATGTTGGAGCCATGTTGAGACCTGCAATGATGCCCACTTGGCCTGTTTTGGGATCAGCAGAGGTAGACTGCTGCTGATTCAAATCTGCATTATTGCCCCCTTTTGCACCTGTGCAAATCCGCTCCATCTATGCATAAGAAACTCAAATTCCAAACTTCTAACTCATATAACATCCACTTGCTGTGTTTTGCTTTCATAATAATAAGTGTTCTTCGTTTATGTGTTCATGCCGATAACGTAAAATCAATCGTCAAACACCGGAAACATATATTAGGAGAAACCTCAAATCCCAAGTAGAAAAATATCTTAAGAATCAAAACAGAACAAACAAGAAGGGAACTGAGAAGAATGTGTATGAAAGGATGAATATAATATAAAAGACGAAATGAATTACCATTATTGTCATCATCGTCGTCGTGTTTGGCTTTGGCATGGATTCTGAACCTTTGCTTTAAGAGCCTCACCAGAGCTTGACATGGGTAAAAACCCATGATTATAATATTGATCCACAATTAATTACAATGCATAAGTACATAAAACTACCCTAATAGGAATCGATCATGATGATCCAAAAAAGAGGAATTGAAGTGGAAAAACCCTTCATTTCAATTACGGCGACGAAAAACCATCGCAGGAATTGAAACTTGGGGAAGGAATATATCAATGTACGTTCGGAGAATTTGAGTCTCAGAGGAAGAAGAAGAAGATCAATTATGAGGTCTAGATCTAAATATATATGTACTTACTGTTGTTTTATTTACTAACGAAATGAACACGTGAGAATTTTTTTTACGTGCATATAATTACGAGTATAATCTTCAACCCGCTGATCACAAGATCTTTGATCTTTCTTTCTATTTTTTTGGGTCCGTTATGAATAAATGTCTTTTGCTCCTTCTAAAAGACTTCTACTGGGAGATTGCTTCTAGATTCAATTTTCTCCAATATCTCACCGATGACCATATATTTTATGTGTTCAAATCATGCAAATGGTAACAGAAATCGATCATGATGATACAAAGTTTTTTTTATCACATCAAATATGCATGTCATTGGTCATTGTGTGAATTATCATTGCACTAATATGAAATATGCATATACCATCAGTCATGGTGTGAATTATGAATTACATTAACATAAATTGAACATGAAATATGCATGTCATTCGTCATGATGTGAAGTACCATCAAGTTAACATAATTTAGGAATGAAGAAATACTAATAATTTGTTTTGTACTTGTCCTTTTGTTGTTGACTAGATAATTGGCCCGCGCTTTGCCGCGGGTCCATATAGTTATTTTCGTATCTTAAAACAAAAATGATCAAATCATATAAAAATAATTAGTTTTAAAATTTGAATTTAAGATGAACTTAACCTATCATTAGATATCGATCACAGTCTCCCTAATTTTACACAACAGTTAAAATTATTTTGTGAGCTATAAATATCTTACATACAGGTTAAGAGAAAAAATTATTCTCATGTGATAATGTAACATGTACGTGTAAGACAGACTCAGATAATGACTTGGTGTTGCATAATTTTGGTGTTAATAACATTCATTATGTAGAAAGGTCTGCATAAGTCATTTATCATGTAAAAATTTTACTCAACAATCTTACATAATTATTACATAAAACAGGTTTCGAAAAGTGCATTTTAGAGGTTATGCGATCGAATTGCAAAACATATCAAAGTATTAGGAAAAAATGTTGGAATATCATCCTTTTTGATAATGTTGGAATAATCATCCTATGTGCTAGTTTTGTCCTGTTGTAGATTTTTTAGTAGTTTTTGAATGTTTGTCTGAGAAACTATTAGAAATATTTTTTATTATAAGATGTCATATAAAATTGCTAAGAAATATTTTCAGTATAAAATATAATAATTCATAGGAACGGACCTTTGTTAGATTTCTTTTATATTAAATAATTTTAATTTCTAATTTATGTTATTTTTAAAAATGATATAAATTATAAAAAATAGTATTTTTCTGAAATAAAATTAAAATATGGTTAGAAAAATCTTGTATTTTCAAAATATTTTTTCGCTGAAACTCCAAGCTAAGTCTGAACTTTTGCTTCAGCTTTTGAATGAGCTTTTCAAAAGGAGAGATTTCAGACATATTTGGCCCTATTTCAATTTTTGAAACCGGAAAACACCTTTAAAGACTAGGCTAAACATAAGCTAAAATAATTTTAGCACGAAGAAATAACATTTAAAAAATGATTTTGGTTGTCTCCTTACCAATAATTAATGAGAAATTTTACAATGCTATATAGTATTGGTGCTATAGGGTTTTGCCTTTATGGTACAACTTAAAATGTACATTTACGTTATGGTACAACTTCAGATTGTACCTATATTTTTTGTACAAATTCTTTTATGGTACAACTTGAACTTGTACTTTTATGTTATGGTACAACTTTATGTGATGGTACAACTTCAAGTTGTAAAGTTGTACCATAACATAAGGGTACAAATTGCTTTATGGTACAACCTAAACTTATACATTTAATGTTATGGTACAACTTTAAATTGTACATTAAAGTACCAATACTGTATAACATAGTAGAAGTGCTCATAATTAATTTTCAAATATATTGTTTGCTACTTAACTAATCGACATTGCAGCCGCATGAGTTCCCTCCCACTAATCTACAAAGACCCGTGCTTTCCTTTTCTTTGATCTTTACACGTGGAGAAGATGGGGCAGCAAATGTCACTCATTAGTCACCCCCCTAAGTATCTCTGCATAACTGAACCTCTCTTGCTGTTTTATTTTACTTTTACCTATAATTCCAAATTTTAACTCGAACATGCATTTCTCTGAGCATGTGTAGCTTCCCCATTGATTTCCTTGATTGTGATAAGAATTAGTTCCTTGCCTCCCTTTCTTCTCCAAGGGTCCTGTGTTTGTTTCTTTGACCCCCTTCGTTGGTCTCTGTTTTCTTTACCCTAACACTTCTTTTTATACCGCTGGTTTTTATTTCAATAAAGCTTTCACTTTCATGAAAAAGAATCAGTTCCCAAGTGCATGTGGGAGTGATGGAAGAATCAGTTGTGGCAAGCTGACTCAATCAAAACCAAAAACACGTCTTGTGTTTTATTTGGAACAACTTACCTGTCCTGCAATTACCCTCTTCTTATATGAGAGTGTTCTTTAACTTCTCCTATGATGGAAATTAGAGGACCGCTACCGGCAATGTGGACTTTATGTGCGGAACTTGACCAGCCGCCAGGAATATCGTCGGCCGACCAATATTCAGGTCCTCATAGAAAGCTGGGGGCAGAGTTCCACGACTTGAGATTATGGGAAAATCAACGTCTGGACGAGCAATTAGCAACCTGCCGCCCGCCACCCACACGGAGAAATCCAACTCCGGCCACTTCTTTGCCTACCCACCACCGTCTATGATTCCAATGATATGCTCGACAAGGGAAACCACTTGCGTAGCCGCCAATCAATTTACGCCGGTAAACCAAGGGAGATTGAAGAGAAGAATCGGGCGGAAAAAGTCAGTGAGCCACAGGAGGCTTATGCTGCACCCGTATATAAGCTACTGGACCCCTTAAACAAGATAGACGCTTTATATATTCTAATTTCTTTTGCTCCTTCTAAAAGACTTCTACTGGGAGATTGCTTGAGCAGCAATCTCTTAAGCCTGATAACATGCTGTTGATTAATGATACAATTTACAATAATCAGAAATAATAACAAACTCGGATGAGGATAATTGGATAGCTAGAAACAATAACCAATAAGCCGTGTCTTCCAATTTCAGATAATCAAAACTAAAGCAACACTTGAACTAATGGCACATAATTTTCTAGCAAATTACTTCAACTATCAGTCATCTACCAAAACTGGGACGGGGGAGAGGTTTTACTTTTACTAAATCAGCATAACTGTTCTCACAGTGGTTTTCTTGGAAGCACAGTGAGACTTGAGTGCACTCTCGTCTACCGTGCCTAGGCCAGAGACGGAGACTCCATACATGGATAGTCTGCGGACGTCTCGCGACATAGGAGACTGCCAGACACCATCCCACCAAGCTGGAGGAGAGAGAGGCGTGAAAGCGCATTGATGGGTCTGGTTCTCGCAGCTCAATGGACCGGCAAATCGGTTCCAGACGTGGCCCCAACCGACCTGCATCCTCAAGCCGTTCGTCAGCAGATTGCTCTGGAAGCTGCTCAGGAATGAAAAGCTTGGGTTCGTATGGTTTTCCCCTGCAAAAGGGAAGAATCAAGAAGTATGATACTAGATGCAGATTGACATTGAGAAATCAGTCATTCACAACTACAGATGAAACGTTCCTTACAAAGAAATGAAGGCACGTGGACGTCTTACCCAGTTGGTTGGCTGCAGCGAGTGATGCCACTAGTTGGGCGTAGGTTGTCCCAACGCGCCTGTGTGCACCTGAGATGACGGCATGCCTGGCACGTGCAGCGAGAAAGAAGTCGACGAATGCAACCCATCTCGGTGCAGGTCCCCAATCCTTCACTCTAAAATCTAGATTCTTCTGTACTGTCTTGTCATCGCGAGGTATGGTTCCTTGGAACTTTTTATAATCGAAATGAAGAACCTGTTTGAAAACCAGAAATGAGGTTTTAGAGTGTTTCCAAACCCCGAGGACAGATCAACAATTCCGGTCAATGGTGTGTTTGAGTACCTCTGCAAATTCACTGATGTTAGGAAGAAGGCTTTTCACAAACGATGGTGTATCAGAGACCAAAACCAGCCTGGGTCTTTGTTTGTTCTGTAGATTATGCATGGCTTTTTGAACACAGTTCAGTGCAGCCTGCACAGCTCTCACTGGCCTGAAATTACAATACCCAAGAACCTGCTGCATTAAGTACGATTCAGTCCAAGTCATACCCTTTTAGCAGATTTAGGTTTTGAAAAACTTAAGTGCACCATGCTCTACTTGTACGTATATAGTATTTAAAGTTTTGAAAAGATGCTAATCTGCAGAAAGAAACATTGCTCTAACAGTGCTGTGAATTACCTGTTCATGAGCATCCTCATGTGCAATGAAATATCGGGGTCCGGCCCACCAGCAAGCACCACGTCAACTGCCTCCTTAACCTCAGCTGATGGAGATATAAGGAATGCCATTAGCTCCCCGAAAACATTAGGCCGAGATTGAAGTTGTTCCGGCTGTCCAAATAAGTCATAAGCAGCACTTCTCATCTCGGGGTACACATTTTTCAGGAAAAACTGGCTGCCCATAGCATCAGTTGTATTCTGAAACCTGCAGACATGACAAATAATCAGTTAACAAGACAAAGAAATGCTGCCATATGCATATTAGTTAGATTGCAAGGGATTTCACTTTACCATATGATAGGCTGTTCCCACTTCCTCCAATTGCTGCAGAGGACGTTTGTTTTAGCAGGTTTCAGAAAGTCATCAATCCTAATAACCAAGTGCCTTCCATAATTCTTGACACAACCATGTTGCCTCCATAGATGTTTGACTTCATTCAGTGTAAACGAATGGTTAGAATAGGCTATGTAGTCCCCAAAAGGATATTTTCCCCTGCAGAATAGAACCATTCACAGAACAAAGCTTTAATCCCTGTATCAAAGTAATCAATACAATAACCAACTATGTAATCGAAATCGAATTAGATAGAAAGGATGGAGGAAGAACCAATATGCCTGGTTTGCCCAATAATCAAGGAACGGTTCAACAATATGCTCAATGCTGCACTATTTAACACCTTGTACATCTCATTTCCAAACCCTGCTTCTGAAGATTTCCCAAGCACAAAACCATGTCTGCAGAATTCCTCTGGTGGCAGATCTCTGATTCTTGAAGCTCCTGCACCATGTAGGCAATTACATTCTCAGAATCCTAAAGTTGGCCAATAAGTTCAACAATTCTCAACTGGCTGGTATCCTTCCGTTCTTCTGCCAACTTTTCTCAATTGACAATAGTTCAGTTCATCTAACAGAGACTACTCTAACTAACTTCATTACGCCTTTTCAAATCAGTTCAGGGAAAGTAGAAAGGAAATTATCCGCGTAACCAAACAGAACCAATTCAATTCGACCGCAAATAAAGCTTAAAACGTAAATCGACAGTTAAGGCATACCGTTGATGAGGAAGTGCTGCCGAATGATCCGTTTCACTCTCAAACTCTCCTTCCACGGCTCGTCCTCGAAGCTCTCCCCCATTTCCTCGACCGTAGCGCACGATTTCGATTGCGCTCCGGTAACGTTCCCCGTCTCCAGCTGCTTAATCGCCGGACTGCTCATCAGCGAGTTGGAATCATCGCCGGAGACTCTCGTTTCTACTCTTCTTCCGTCGAGGTCTGGGAGGAATCCGCCGGGGCTAGACGGTGGAGGATCGACCGATCTCAGCGTGAGGAGAAGCAAGCCGGTTGCTGTGAAGAGCACGACGACAGCGAGTACTGAAGTTAAGGACACTCTCCTCCTCCGTAATCCATAGTGCTTCATGTCACTCGAGAATCCGGCGGTGAGTACGGTCGGCGGTGACGGCGATTGAAGGACGCTATTCACTGAGATCTGGGACTGGGAGTGAGGAAAGAGTGAAGATGAGCTGTGGCAGCAGCACGTCGGTGGAATCTTTCAATTTCGCCGTGTTCTTATTTTTTCTTGGAAAATTTCTCATTTCTTTCGGCTGGCCCGGGGGAGCAAAAGGCGGTATCCGTGTCTAAGCCAACTATGCCAAATATAGTAGCACGCCCGTCACCTATTGTAAAACTCAAAAAATGGGATTAAATTATGGCAAAATCATAAATTACTATTTTTACATGATTGGGAAATTGAAATAATTTCTTAACTATGAGATGATATTTGTAGTAATTTAGGGTTTGAAAATGGCATGCTGTCAAACTATACACAAATTTTTGGCTATATAGTTATAAATTTGTATAATCATAATTTGTATTTAAAAGAAAATTTTATTACAATGATGGAAGAATATAAAATTAACCTCATTAGAAAATTTATTTTTTAGGTAGGCAGAACAATAAGATAGTCCATTTGGTGGTTAAAAAAGCTCTCGCTTTGTCTCCGATAGTTTTGACTAGTTTTTTTTGTTAGGGAGTGATATAAGATCCATCATAACCTTCTCCCAACAACTCGAGTTATTGAGACCAACTGGTTTATGACATGGTATCAGAGCTGGTTTGACCAAGTGGTCGTGTGTTCGAATCTCCATGACCCCACTATTAACAGTTGATTAAAGCACAATGTATGGTGGCCTGTGCAAACTTCAAGCCCGTGAGTTGGCTTTCGTTTGAGGGGGCATATTAGAGAGTGGTATAATATCCATCATAACCTTCTCCCAACAACTCGAGTTATTGAGACCAACTCGATTGAAACCCATTGAAGAAGAAGAATCTGAAGAAGATTTTCCTCCCCTCGAGAACATGACCTTCCTCAAACTCCATTCGCCGCCATGTCCAGAACCCGCTGCAGTCGCCGCCATCGACAGAACTACAATTGCCACCAGCTAAGGTAGTGGTGAGTAACCGAAGGCTGAGAATAAGGTAACAAACATAGTGGCTATGGACTACGTGATTGAACCTGATATTAGAATTCTATCGGGTCTGGCCGTAAGATTGGGAATTAGGGATTCATAACAGAATTAGGGATTTGAGAAGAGAAAGATAGAGAATCGGCCGAAGCCTTTAGAGGGATTGAGATCTAGAATTGAGAGGATTGGGAGATTAGGGTTTAGAAGAGTTTTCTTAATATTCTTCTTGACTGCCTATGAATGAAGGACCAATTACATATTTATAGCGAAAGACTAGAAAAACCTAATAGACTATCCTAATATGACTCATTGACTACTAATCATATCTAATAAAATCCTTATAATAATAATAATGATAATTATGATAGAACCCATAAATTGGGTTTCTATCATCCCCTCCCCCTTGAGACCAACCTTGCTCTCAAGGTTGACCGACTCGACCCACTTCTCCGCACCTTCTCGTCCAATGCGATCGTCGCTTATCCGCTTCTTGTGCTTTCTTCTATTCCAATTAGGCTCCAACTCTTGACTTGGAATTCTTGCACCCATCTTCTTGTGGTGACCCAGCTTTTCAAATCTCATTTCTACAGGCCACTATTCACTTCCTTATCAAACTCAATCTTCAATCGCTCCTCTATTATTGGCATCACCATCCATGAACTTAATGAATTCAAAGATTCAATCTTGTTCAAGAACCTATCTTTGAGTACCAACTCATCCAGACCTATAAACAGTTTTCTTGAAGTTAACCCATAAATTATTGTGTTGCTTCTGTACCTGCTCTTGGCTAGGAATGGCAATGGGGCATGTCCGGGGCGAGTATCTCGATACCCATACCCGCCCCATGGCAGGTCGGGTCCAGGTCGGGTAATTTATTACGGGGCGCGGGTCGGGGCAGGTCGACCCAATGAGTATGTAATATATGTGAAAAACATTAGAAATATTTGTTATTTTCATTAAAAGACCAAGAAAGAAACCATAATATAATAAAATCTAGTTAAATTATTCAAGAAATTGAGGTTTTCACTTAATTGCAACTTTATTATAGCTAAAATATAATGTAATAAGAGGAAAATCCTAAGTAATTTGACTAAGATTATATGTAATTTAGGCAAAAACGGGTCGAGAATGGGGCGGGTCAGGGCAGGTCGGGTCGATGAGAGGTACCCATGCTCGCCCCGCCTACGGGGCGGGTTTGCCCCGCCCCAAAACAGGTCAAACAGGTCGGGTAAATCGGGTCAGGTCGAAATTGCCATCTCTACTCTTGGCTCATCCTCTTTAATTAGGCCACTTGGGCCCATGCCATCCAAAAGAGACTCCATAAGACAGACACTCAGAGGCCCAACCTCGCACTGGGAACGTGGCCCATTTCTCTCTGAAATAACGTTGGTCGCCCTCTTGACCGGCCCCGAACTGAGCCCATCTCTCTTCTTTCCATGATCCAAATTCAGCCCAAGGCTGACATTACATTTTGTCAGCAGAGGGCCCACTTGACTTGGCCCATCAATCATAGCCAAATCGGCCCATTTCACTTCAGTTGCTGCTAGTCCAAACGATGACCCACCCAAGCCATCTTCAAGCCCAACGACCCAAACAGCCCCAAAACCCACCATAAATGACTGTTGGGTGGCTCGACCTAGGGTTGGCCACCCCGGTCTTGCGAGAAGGGGGAAACCATCACCGTCCCCGTCGTCCTCCCTCTTCGCCCGCGACGCGCGCAGAGGCTCACCGCCTCCGTCTCTCTTCTCCATTTCCAGCGGCCAGTGTCACGGACATAGACTTCCGAAGTCCGTGCGGCGTCTTGAGGTGCACTCATTCCTCAAGACCAGCCTCTCTGCATACGCATGCCAACTGGTTTCGCCCTGCCTTGGGCTCATCAGGGAGACGGCAATAGCCTCCGACCAGTTGTGCCTTCTCTTGCAACGATCCCCTTCATAGCCACATCTTGACTCGGCTAGATGCGATGCACAGGCAGACAACGCCTTATCGCTAATGTCGCCCCCTTTACCCTTCTCGTGGCAAGACAACCAGATGGCAGCGTTCTTCAGACGATCAACACGGTCACGACATTTCGGGTCGTGACATTCTCCACCACTCATAATGCAGCACGTCCTCGTGCTGGTGAAGAATGCTTCTCTCCGCAGCATGTATTGCAACTCTTGAACCGATTGTGGACGTCCGCATACGATACCATCATCTGATGGACAGGCTCCGGTCGCGTCTCTCGCGCTAGCCTGCTGTGCTCCGCGCACATACCGCTTCGCCCCTCGACATCAACCTTCACTCTTTGCTTCTGCTGCGCTAGTACCTCAGTCGACCTTCACCCTACGCTACTCCCAGCGTTTGTACCTCAATCGACCTTCACCCTACGCTCTCGCTAGCGTTAGTTCCTCGGTTGAACGGCATTCTCGGCCGCCGCATCTTCAGCCTGTCGAGGTCCCCCACAACGGCGCAACACATGTGTATCTGCATCCGGACCGCCTGATATGCTCACCCAGGACCGCCTCTCATTCCGGCATAGGGTCGGCCCATACACGACCTACGCCGTACTGAGAGAGGAACTAGGCTCTTCAGCCTAACCAGGCTCTGATACCATTTGTCACGGACATAGACTTCTGAAGTCCGTGCGGCGTCTTGAGGTGCACTCATTCCTCAAGACCAGCCTCTCTGCATACGCATGCCAACTGGTTTCGCCCTGCCTTGGGCTCATCAGGGAGACGGCAATAGCCTCCGACCAGTTGTGCCTTCTCTTGCAACGATCCCCTTCATAGCCACATCTTGACTCGGCTAGATGCGATGCACAGGCAGACAACGCCTTATCGCTAATGTCGCCCCCTTTACCCTTCTCGTGGCAAGACAACCAGATGGCAGCGTTCTTCAGACGATCAACACGGTCACGACATTTCGGGTCGTGACACCAGCCGCTCATCCAACCACGACGAGGCGAGTCCCGCTCCTCCATCGCCTTCAGCTCTTCCTCTCGGTTCGCCGTTGCTTCGAGGAGAGCGGCATCGCCCGCCCTTGCATTCGTCTTTCTGGCGAACAACTTCTTCTTCTTCCTCGGTGAGCAGAGCACTCTGCCGCCGCCACCGCGTTTCTTCTTCTTCCTCGGTGAGTAGAGTTTTCCGCCGCCGCCGTCCACCTTCTTTCCCCGCAGCGAGGAGCTGCTCATCGGGCGGCCGGAAGGCCAACCCACCTTTGGCTTCGACTTCTGGTTCGTCGCCTCGTCTGTCAGCGCCACGAATGGATCCTTCGACGGCTGCGGCGCTGCCTGCGCGACGTGGGACGCTTGAGAGTTAGCCCAGTTGTTCGTCGCCTCCTGTTGCTCACCCCTAAACTCCGGCTGACACTCCCAGCGGTACCGCTCCAGGGGCTCCTCATCCACCTTCATCTCGAGCGGTGAAGGAATGTCTAGCGATGATGATGATTTCAGATGAACAACAGCCGTTGTTGCAGCTGCCTTCCCGACGCTAGAGCGTCTAATTCATATTAATCAAATGTTCACGGGGAACTCCCATTACATCATGGCGAAGCCATTGACTAAACCTGAATCTCACACATTGAGATTGAGTGTGCCAAAATGAAAATTGTGGCCGAGATTCGCCAAGTAATCGGCTGCAAAATTTGTCTCTCTGTACACATGTTCCACAATAACCTCCCACTTGAGTTTGAGGTTAAAAAGCTTTGATTGTTTGTGTTTGACTCCTTTAGAGTCGTAAACGTTATATCTTTTTATTATTTACTAATACAAGCTATCTTTGGGTTTCAAAAATATAATGAAATTTCGTTTTAATTTCAAAAGACATAAAGCTTACTTTTTATGTTTAGATTTTGAAATCAACAATAATTTGGAAATGTATCCGATTTCATAGATTGAATACCTAACTCCCTGCATATCCTTGTTATGATAGAGGCAGAGCGTGATCATCCTACTACTTGTACTAACACGCGCGACTAGTTGAATCTAATTATCTAAAGATGTATAGCCTACATCATTAGTTAGTATTTAAATTATCTCTCAAGGTTGTGCTTGGAAGCTGAACGGATCATCCTTATGCTTGTACCGCACATGTGAGTGATTGAATATGAGGGTACTGCACATGTGAGTGATTGAATATGAGGATACACGAGCTAGAGTCCTTTTTAAACACACCTAACAAATTAGTTACTTTACCTCATTCCATGAAATTTTAGAATTCAAATGTTTATTTCTACTCTAAATAACATTTGACATCATTGAAACAATGTTAGATGTTCTCATTAACCAAAACTGCAATTTTGAAACATATCATACCAAACTTGCGAGAACACATGTTATTTAACAACTATAATGCCTCGTTTATATTTGTTTGTACATTGTGGCTCATAAAAATGGATTTTAACACTTGAACACAATCTTATGTTGTTGGTTGAAGTAATGGACGAAATTTTTGTTCAATTAATTGAACTATATGAACAGAGGTGCATAAATAAAACTATAGTATACATGTTTTTTTGTTTGAATTTCATGAGTAATTGCAATTGTATTGTTGCAACAATAACTTTTAATTGATCGATTATAGACAGCGTACAAGCAAAATAACACCGTCACTAATAGAGACATATAGTTTGGGAGAGTTATTTAGTGCTTTGATCACCTCGGTCCTCAAAATGGCATGTTTAGTTTTCATTGTAGCAATGTATACTAAGTTTAATGACTGAGTTCCGAAAAGATAAAAAAGAAAAGAAGTAAAAAATTATATCTGCCCATTAAAATGTAAATTACAATAATACAATCTTTGATCTCACGATGATGATTATGATGTTGAAGTTCTCCCAAACCTACAAAGACAACACTACTAATTAGCAAAACCAAATTAATCCACTAGTTAACCATAGTCATTTCCAAGTAATTAACAACAATCATCTCCTCCTGGCTATGGAACTAGCGTTCCCCTCGAACAGCTCCTCCACACAATTCTCTATATCCTCCGCCTGATACTTTACATACTTCTCGTATTGCCTGCCGGGAGTAAAATACTGAGAGAACCTCCCTAGAAACGCCCTGTACGCCGGAATCACCACTGCCGCTATCGACACCCGGAGCTCTGACTGCAACTGTTCGTCGCTCACCACCCACTGGCTCTGCGTCCTGTGTATCTCATCGAACATGATGTTGAAGTTCTTGAACCTCTCTTTCAACACGGTCTTGGACACTTTCCCATGCACCTGCACGCCCTCCTGTGCCAGATTCCCTAGCAACTTGCTCCACGTCTCCCTCTGGTACCCCTTGTGGTAGTTCCGGAGGTCCGACGATTTTCGACGGCACCACGGATCCCCCATAACGCAGTGGATCTCCGGAGAGCTCTTTATTTTTTGTAAAATGTACCGCCCATTGTTCATCATGAAGATGCAGCAGAGGGATACGTCTCTGTAGAGCTGCGATTTCGACTCTAGGTTTTGATCTAGGAAATCCATGATCCTCGCCAGCTGGCCGGCGAATGGAGACTGGTTATTGTCCTGGTCACCGCCTCCTCCACCTTGATTCGAATCGCCTTCGAATCTAGGCCGGCTCGTTGAATCTGCACGCTCGATTTTGGAATGGTCTCTAAAAACATTCTCCAGAGTCGATTTGTACTCAAAGGCGTATTTCAGGTAGTTCATCGTGTAGCGGGTTAACGGATGGACGGCGCCGCCGGGGACCGGAGTCTTTCCATGGTCGTTTTTGATTGAATGCTCCAGATCGCTGAAGATGTTAATTGCTGCTTCTCCGATTCTTCCCTTTACCGTCGTGGCCTCTGTTTTCAGCTCGCTCTCAGACTCCTCCGGGTACAAGCCTTCGATTGCAGCGAATCCATCTCGCAAGGTTTCATACATGTCGAGGAATTTGAAGAGCTTCTCCGTGGATCTCTTAGACATGGCGACTCCTTCGGCAAAATTGAGGAACTGGATAAGAATTCCTCTGCTTAGGTTGCTGAAGAGGGAGATGGAGAGGGAAGGGTAGTTTGAGAAAACAGAGTGGACTAATTTGTGCTCTTTGGGGAAATGGATGCTGGCGCATTCTTTGATGATGGAAGTCATGATCGGGATTTCCCGCTCGAGATTCTCCCATGCCATCTTCTGGACATCGTCGATGCTGATCTTCTCGAATCCTGACTGGATTAGGGTCTCATCCAAGGCGTGCCGCCGTACGATCATGTACACCTGGCAACACTCCGATTCGTACCCACCGGCGATCATCTGACTCGCAATCTTGCTCAGATTCGTCACCGTTTCTTCACTGTACCCAGGATACGGCGATTCCTTTTCTTCCTCTGGCTTCGATTGCGATTCTGGCAGCGGACTCCCTCCCTCACCGGTTTCCGCCGCTTTTGTTGATGATTTTCCCGCGGAATCTGGTTCTTGTACCGGTTGTTGATTGGCATGCTCTTGGAGAAGAAACCCGAATTCATCCTCCAAATACGACATTGCTCGTTGGTGAATTGATCCGATCCGGTTCACGAGATGAGCATGATCTGGATCCGATCGAAATTCGTTGAGCGAACTCGCTAGCCTGGAGAAACGATTCACGATCTCCATGAATGACGCATCATCATCCGGCGAGAGGCACCACTTCCCCCCTCCGCCTCCTCCTTTCCCGTCCGAAGATGAATCACGATCGCTGATCTTCCCGTCGACCAGATCCACGTACTTCTCCACAAATTCCGGCATCAAGATGGTCGATCTCTTCTTACAGATTTGCTTTTCTTTTTCCTCCTCCTTCTTGCCTCCTTCATCATCAGGTCCCGCCTCTTCCGAATCCGGCTTATGTTCGCGGGAGCCGGCTTCTTTCTCCCCTGAAATCGGATCCTCATTCTTCTCATCCTTGTCTTCCGTCTCCTGCTTCTCATCGTGCTCCTTTTTCTCTTCCATCTCCCCCACTAATGTTTCCTGAGAGGAAACCACCATCTTTCTTTCTGAGAGAGTGATCAGGAAATGGTCGATGTCAGGAGAGAGGGTTTGCAGGGTGAGATGGATTTCCTCGTCAAGATTAGGAGGCGGCCGATCATGTGAAACGTCACCGTTTCGGTCAGGGCTTGAGGCGGAGCCATCCTTGTCCGCGCCATTTCCGAGATCAGAAGAAGAGGAATCATCAAGGAGGTGGCCGCTGCGACTGTGGTGGTTGTGCGGTGCGGGTGATGCATCGTCGTTTCCATCTGCGGCGGCTGATGAATCAGGGACGGTGGGAGGAGGGTCGTCCTTGTTGTTGTTGGTGGTGTCTGTAGGTTTGGCAGCGTCAGGATGAGCCTGTTCAGAATTAATGTTCGATTCCATTAGCGTTTTTCCTTTTGTACTTTTCGGGTGGAGGGGATGGGGAGAAAAAACGTTCAGAGAAGTTGGAAGATTTGTTGTTTGGAGGAGAAAGGGGAAAAACTGAGAGAATGTTGTTTTGTTTAAGTGATTATCTTCAATCCTTTTTCGTAATTTTTTGTTTTTGTTTTTTTCTGGGTGGAGTTTTGTGCATTTGGGTTTTTTGAGCAGGAGAAAGGGTCGCTGGATCGGGGGAATGTACGGACAAGAATGGGTGGAAATTTTGGAGAGGTGGATTCGTCATTCGTGTAGTTTGCTTGTAATTTTTATTCTATTGAGTTGGGAAGGGATTAAGTAACTATTGACCAGGCAAGCAGGTTAATAGCTGGATTATAGATTAGATAACAGAAACAAAGTGGGAGATCTCCGGATAAGGAGATGTCGATTGCAGATAGATATAATAATAATATAATAATAATAATAATATTTTTTTATATAGATTTTAGGTCAATGTGTATCTAATTGAGGTTGTCAAAATTGAGGATGCTATAATAGAATGGGGACATTTGATGGAAATTGGATCCAAAAGAGAGAAATAAAACAAAAGAGTTAAGGAGAGTAAGAAAACTTAACTTTGGCTAGCTTCTTCTACTTCAAGAAGAAACTTGCCATTATAGAATGGCAACTTTAAAAATACTAGGAATGAATTTCCTTTCTATACTCTATATACATAATACATATCATAGGGTGTAATGATGTGTAGACTTGGCTTGCAAACACCAAAATCTAAAGAAATTAGAAATCATAGAATTAGGAAGAGGAGAAGAAGAAGATGATGATGGTAGGCTTGGTGGGGATATTTAAAGCTCATGATTACCTGTCGAAAGAGAGTTTATACTAGTGTAGCTTTGAAAAAGGGTAAATTTTATCTGGTATAATTATTTGGTGTATAATCTTTTTAGTTGCAGTAGCTTTCATGGGTGCAATCTAGTGATAAGGGTCGTGATTCATGAGCCAATTAGCTTTTTTAATGTGATCGACAATATTGTTATTAAGAGTTTTTTAGAACTTAATAAGTGTGCATTAGCGAATTATCCAAATAAGTTACTGGTCTTTATAACTTAATGGACTTGAGCAATCCGATCTCTATATATATTAAGGAGTTTAAACCAACTCTATTTATCTAAATTGTCAAAATAGATGGCCTATACCATGGTGAAATTAATTAATTGTTTGACATTATAATAATAGTGAAAACTCCCACACAACACAAAATTTTGTAGGTTTTTGTTTGGTAACTCATGGGGCACGCAGGTTTTGTTTGGAGTAGTGGTGTTTATTCTTCTCTTAAAGAAAGTCAGATTTTCAGGGTGATCACTAACTAAGTACGAAAACTGCAAAGCCAACTATCAATACTTATAATAACACATATGTCATCCAAACAAATGATGCTTGCTCGTAAAATTAAAAAATTACTTACACAACTATGTATTGGGGAATATTTATGTGTCCAGCTTCTTTGTCTTATTCGAAATCTGACAAGTTTATCTTGAGCCGTACAATAAATAGGTGTTACTTGATTCGTAAGTAATATGGATGAGTATTTTGATATCCTTTTCAGAATTTTATCCTTGTTTAATGGCATTATATCTAAATTGTTCCAATGTTGGATTGAATTGTTTATTCTCTTTATTTAGGCATGTGTAAGAATGAGTGATTCTATTTCGCTTGTGCCATACTAATTAATTCATGATATAATCCGTGCTCCAATGTCATTTTGAAGTATTTGAAAGGCCCTTAAAGTTAAAAGTGCCTGCACATTGTTGAACCCTGAAAGTGTTCAAAGTTCAGGTGCAACTCTTATTCACCAAACTCATGAACGACCATATTCTTAACCAGCCACTCATTCATACACGCCGACATTGCTTGATGTGCCAGCAGCAAGCCCTACAATACAGAAAACAGGCCTACGATTCATTTCTAGCTAGTGCAGCGGAAGATTCTCGCAAGAGCGCAGAAGATTAATTTGCTCTTCTTTCTTGCTGTACAAGGTAGGTCATCTTCCCCTATCCTCACATCTTCATTCTTTAGGTGTTCCAGTATTTGATTGGTTGCTCTCCGTGCTGCTAAACTCTCCGCAAATGCTCCAACACCCTACTTACCTTTTTGAAGCATATCTACCCACCTGAACACAACAAAAACTCTCTAAATGTTAGATTGTTATCTTCCTCGTCAAATCTGTTGTTGCACTACTCAGCTTGTATCCTGTGAAAAACCAAAAACAACACGCAAAAAAAAAAAAATCGAATAGTATATTACTTGGTGCCTTCCGAGCCATTCCTAGCTTCGTGCCTAGGTGGCTTCTTGTTGTCTCTGAATCTTGCCCCACAATTTGGCTTCCTCGATATCAACCTCACGATTCAAATCCTTGTTCTCTACTACTGCTTTGACTGCTTTCGTCACTACATTTTCGTTCTGGTTTTGATCAGCGTCGAGCCATCCCAACCCTGCGTTACTAGCCTTCTTAGCATCTTTCGACTTACTCGATCGAGCCAACAAGTAATCCATCGCACCAACCAGCTCGCTCGATGTTGGCCTGAAGCTGGCTTTGTCAGATAGACATCTCAACACAACCTCTATGGCCTTATTATACACAAACTTTGAGTACTTTCCTTTCAGCAATGGATCCGCCAGCTCCAACCAATTGTTCTTGTCTTTCAGCAGAGGAAGAGCCTGCAACAATCAACAATCTAATGAATCATGTACTAGCTAATTGTGGAATGGTAAGATTTTAGGACGAATCCCATTGCAAGACGATGTTCTTACCCATTGGGTTAAATTCCTGGACTTACTATCCACCTGATCAACTGCTCTCCGCCCAGTAATTAGCTCCAGCAAGAGCACCCCAAAGCTATAGATATCTGTCTTCATGGTTAATTTGCCAGTGTTGGCATACTCAGGGGCACAATACCCATAAGTTCCCATGATCCTAGTGGAGACATGAGATTTATCTCCAGTTGGACCGAACTTGGCAAGCCCGAAATCAGACAACTTGGGTTGGTAATCTTTGTCCAGCAGAATGTTGGAAGATTTGAGGTCTCTGTATATCACTGGTGGGCTTGCTGAGTGCAGGCATTCCAATCCTCTTGCTGTTCCAGCAGCTATCTTTATCCTAGTCTTCCAATTCAGTGGTTGCATCCCGTTTGAAAGATCTACAAAAGTACACCAGTTATACAAAATGGGGTTTCTACTTTGTTTTCTGGATAGTAGAAAGGAGAGTGTGTTATGTCATAAGAAACGAGAGTAAGGTTAAGTAGAGAGTCAGATTTACCAAAAAGGCGGTCTTCTAAGGAACCCATGGGCATGTATTCATAGACGAGAAGACGTTGAGACCCCTCAGCACAGTATCCAACCAACTTGACAAGATTCGGATGGTGCAATATAGAGAGCATAAGAACCTCCACAAGGAACTCCTTTTCTCCTTGATATCCAGTTGAATCCAGTTGCTTAACAGCCACTGACTGCAACAAAGAGAAAAAAGTAGCAAGAGGGTCATATGTAAGATGAAAACATCCAGCACAACACATGAGACTAGGAGTTTACCTGGCCGATTCTTTTGAGTTTGCCTTTGTAAACAGCACCGAAGCCACCTCTTCCAAGATAAGCATCCGGTGCGAACCCATTGGTCGCAGCTTCTAGCTCTTGGTAGATGAATGTTGGAGCCATGTTGAGACCTGCAATGATGCCCACTTGGCCTGTTTTGGGATCAGCAGAGGTAGACTGCTGCTGATTCAAATCTGCATTATTGCCCCCTTTTGCACCTGTGCAAATCCGCTCCATCTATGCATAAGAAACTCAAATTCCAAACTTCTAACTCATATAACATCCACTTGCTGTGTTTTGCTTTCATAATAATAAGTGTTCTTCGTTTATGTGTTCATGCCGATAACGTAAAATCAATCGTCAAACACCGGAAACATATATTAGGAGAAACCTCAAATCCCAAGTAGAAAAATATCTTAAGAATCAAAACAGAACAAACAAGAAGGGAACTGAGAAGAATGTGTATGAAAGGATGAATATAATATAAAAGACGAAATGAATTACCATTATTGTCATCATCGTCGTCGTGTTTGGCTTTGGCATGGATTCTGAACCTTTGCTTTAAGAGCCTCACCAGAGCTTGACATGGGTAAAAACCCATGATTATAATATTGATCCACAATTAATTACAATGCATAAGTACATAAAACTACCCTAATAGGAATCGATCATGATGATCCAAAAAAGAGGAATTGAAGTGGAAAAACCCTTCATTTCAATTACGGCGACGAAAAACCATCGCAGGAATTGAAACTTGGGGAAGGAATATATCAATGTACGTTCGGAGAATTTGAGTCTCAGAGGAAGAAGAAGAAGATCAATTATGAGGTCTAGATCTAAATATATATGTACTTACTGTTGTTTTATTTACTAACGAAATGAACACGTGAGAATTTTTTTTACGTGCATATAATTACGAGTATAATCTTCAACCCGCTGATCACAAGATCTTTGATCTTTCTTTCTATTTTTTGGGTCCGTTATGAATAAATGTCTTTTGCTCCTTCTAAAAGACTTCTACTGGGAGATTGCTTCTAGATTCAATTTTCTCCAATATCTCACCCTCCTAACACTCATTGATGACCATATATTTTATGTGTTCAAATCATGCAAATTATAACAGAAATCGATCATGATGATACAAAGTCTTTTTTATCACATCAAATATGCATGTCATTGGTCATTGTGTGAATTATCATTGCACTAATATGAAATATGCATATACCATCAGTCATGGTGTGAATTATGAATTGCATTAACATAAATTGAACATGAAATATGCATGTCATTCGTCATGATGTGAAGTACCATCAAGTTAACATAATTTAGGAATGAAGAAATACTAATCATTTGTTTTGTACTTGTCCTTTTGTTGTTGACTAGATAATTGGCCCGCGCTTTGCCGCGGGTCCATATAGTTATTTTCGTATCTTAAAACAGAAATGATCAAATCATATAAAAATAATTAGTTTTAAAATTTGAATTTAAGATGAACTTAACCTATCATTAGATATCGATCACAGTCTCCCTTTTACAAACAGTTAAAATTATTTTGTGAGCTATAAATATCTTACATACAGGTTAAGAGAAAAAATTATTCTCATGTGATAATGTAACATGTACGTGTAAGACAGACTCATATAATGACTTGGTGTTGCATAATTTTGGTGTTAATAACATTCATTATGTAGAAAGGTCTGCATAAGTCATTTATCATGTAAAAATTTTACTCAACAATCTTACATAATTATTACATAAAACAGGTTTCAAAAAGTGCATTTTAGAGGTTATGCGATCGAATTGCAAAACATATCAAAGTATTAGGAAAAAATGTTGGAATATCATCCTTTTTGATAATGTTGGAATAATCATCCTATGTGCTAGTTTTGTCCTGTTGTAGATTTTTTAGTAGTTTTTGAATGTTTGTCTGAGAAACTATTAGAAATGTTTTTTATTATAAGATGTCATATAAAATTGCTAAGAAATATTTTCAGTATAAAATATAATAATTCATAGGAACGGACCTTTGTTAGATTTCTTTTATATTAAATAATTTTAATTTCTAATTTATGTTATTTTTAAAAATGATATAAATTATAGAAAATAGTATTTTTCTGAAATAAAATTAAAATATGGTTAGAAAAATCTTGTATTTTCAAAATATTTTTTCGCTGAAACTCCAAGCTAAGTCTGAACTTTTGCTTCAGCTTTTGAATGAGCTTTTCAAAAGGAGAGATTTCAGAGATATTTGGCCCTATTTCAATTTTTGAAACTGGAAAACACCTTTAAAGACTGGGCTAAACATAAGCTAAAATAATTTTAGCACGAAGAAATAACATTTAAAAAATGATTTTGGTTGTCTCCTTACCTATAATTAATGAGAAATTTTACAATGCTATATAGTATTGGTGCTATAGGGTTTTGCCTTTATGGTACAACTTAAAATTGTACATTTACGTTATGGTACAACTTCAGATTGTACCTATATTTTTTGTACAAATTCTTTTATGGTACAACTTGAACTTGTATTTTTATGTTATGGTACAACTTTATGTGATGATACAACTTCAAGTTGTAAAGTTGTACCATAACATAAGGGTACAAATTGCTTTATGGTACAACATAAACTTATACATTTAATGTTATGGTACAACTTTAAATTGTACATTAAAGTACCAATACTGTATAGCATAGTAGAAGTGCTCATAATTAATTTTCAAATATATTGTTTGCTACTTAACTAATCGACATTGCAGCCGCATGAGTTCCCTCCCACTAATCTACAAAGACCCGTGCTTTCCTTTTCTTTGATCTTTACACGTGGAGAAGATGGGGCAGCAAATGTCACTCATTAGTCATCCCCCTAACTATCTCTGCATAACTGAACCTCTCTTGCTGTTTTATTTTACTTTTACCTATAATTCCAAATTTTAACTCGAACATGCATTTCTCCGAGCATGTGTAGCTTCCCCATTGATTTCCTTGATTGTGATAAGAATCAGTTCCTTGCCTCCCTTTCTTCTCCAAGGGTCCTGTGTTTGTTTCTTTGACCCCTTCGTTGGTCTCTGTTTTCTTTACCCTAACACTTCTTCTTATACCGCTGGTTTTTATTTCAATAAAGCTTTCACTTTCATGAAAAAGAATCAGTTCCCAAGTGCATGTGGGAGTGATGGAAGAATCAGTTGTGGCAAGCTGACTCAATCAAAACCAAAAACACGTCCTGTGTTTTATTTGGAACAACTTACCTGTCCTGCAATTACCCTCTTCTTATATGAGAGTGTTCTTTAACTTCTCCTATGATGGAAATTAGAGGACCGCTACCGGCAATGTGGACTTTATGTGCGGAACTTGACCAGCCGCCAGGAATATCATCGGCCGACCAATATTCAGGTCCTCATAGGAAGCTGGGGGCAGAGTTCCACGACTTGAGATTATGGGAAAATCAACGTCTGGACGAGCAATTAGCAACCTGCCGCCCGCCACCCACACGGAGAAATCCAACTCCGGCCACTTCTTTGCCTACCCACCACCGTCTATGATTCCAATGATATGCTCGGCAAGGGAAACCACTTGCGTAGCCGCCAATCAATTTACGCCGGTAAACCAAGGGAGATTGAAGAGAAGAATCGGGCGGAAAAAGTCAGTGAGCTACAGGAGGCTTATGCTGCACCCGTATATAAGCTACTGGACCCCTTAAACAAGATAGACGCTTTATATATTCTAATTTCTTTTGCTCCTTCTAAAAGACTTCTACTGGGAGATTGCTTGAGCAGCAATCTCTTAAGCCTGATAACATGCTGTTGATTAATGATACAATTTACAATAATCAGAAATAATAACAAACTCGGATGAGGATAATTGGATAGCTAGAAACAATAACCAATAAGCCGTGTCTTCCAATTTCAGATAATCAAAACTAAAGCAACACTTGAACTAATGGCACATAATTTTCTAGCAAATTACTTCAACTATCAGTCATCTACCAAAACTGGGACGGGGGAGAGGTTTTACTTTTACTAAATCAGCATAACTGTTCTCACAGTGGTTTTCTTGGAAGCACAGTGAGACTTGAGTGCACTCTCGTCTACCGTGCCTAGGCCAGAGACGGAGACTCCATACATGGATAGTCTGCGGACGTCTCGCGACATAGGAGACTGCCAGAGACCATCCCACCAAGCTGGAGGAGAGAGAGGCGTGAAAGCGCATTGATGGGTCTGGTTCTCGCAGCTCAATGGACCGGCAAATCGGTTCCAGACGTGGCCCCAACCGACCTGCATCCTCAAGCCGTTCGTCAGCAGATTGCTCTGGAAGCTGCTCAGGAATGAAAAGCTTGGGTTCGTATGGTTTTCCCCTGCAAAAGGGAAGAATCAAGAAGTATGATACTAGATGCAGATTGACATTGAGAAATCAGTCATTCACAACTACAGATGAAACGTTCCTTACAAAGAAATGAAGGCACGTGGACGTCTTACCCAGTTGGTTGGCTGCAGCGAGTGATGCCACTAGTTGGGCGTAGGTTGTCCCAACGCGCCTGTGTGCACCTGAGATGACGGCATGCTTGGCACGTGCAGCGAGAAAGAAGTCGACGAATGCAACCCATCTCGGTGCAGGTCCCCAATCCTTCACTCTAAAATCTAGATTCTTCTGTACTGTCTTGTCATCGCGAGGTATGGTTCCTTGGAACTTTTTATAATCGAAATGAAGAACCTGTTTGAAAACCAGAAATGAGGTTTTAGAGTGTTTCCAAACCCGAGGACAGATCAACAATTCCGGTCAATGGTGTTTGAGTACCTCTGCAAATTCACTGATGTTAGGAAGAAGGCTTTTCACAAACGATGGTGTATCAGAGACCAAAACCAGCCTGGGTCTTTGTTTGTTCTGTAGATTATGCATGGCTTTTTGAACACAGTTCAGTGCAGCCTGCACAGCTCTCACTGGCCTGAAATTACAATACCCAAGAACCTGCTGCATTAAGTACGATTCAGTCCAAGTCATACCCTTTTAGCAGATTTAGGTTTTGAAAAACTTAAGTGCACCATGCTCTACTTGTACGTATATAGTATTTAAAGTTTTGAAAAGATGCTAATCTGCAGAAAGAAACATTGCTCTAACAGTGCTGTGAATTACCTGTTCATGAGCATCCTCATGTGCAATGAAATATCGGGGTCCGGCCCACCAGCAAGCACCACGTCAACTGCCTCCTTAACCTCAGCTGATGGAGATATAAGGAATGCCATTAGCTCCCCGAAAACATTAGGCCGAGATTGAAGTTGTTCCGGCTGTCCAAATAAGTCATAAGCAGCACTTCTCATCTCGGGGTACACATTTTTCAGGAAAAACTGGCTGCCCATAGCATCAGTTGTATTCTGAAACCTGCAGACATGACAAATAATCAGTTAACAAGACAAAGAAATGCTGCCATATGCATATTAGTTAGATTGCAAGGGATTTCACTTTACCATATGATAGGCTGTTCCCACTTCCTCCAATTGCTGCAGAGGACGTTTGTTTTAGCAGGCTTCAGAAAGTCATCAATCCTAATAACCAAGTGCCTTCCATAATTCTTGACACAACCATGTTGCCTCCATAGATGTTTGACTTCATTCAGTGTAAACGAATGGTTAGAATAGGCTATGTAGTCCCCAAAAGGATATTTTCCCCTGCAGAATAGAACCATTCACAGAACAAAGCTTTAATCCCTGTATCAAAGTAATCAATACAATAACCAACTATGTAATCGAAATCGAATTAGATAGAAAGGATGGAGGAAGAACCAATATGCCTGGTTTGCCCAATAATCAAGGAACGGTTCAACAATATGCTCAATGCTGCACTATTTAACACCTTGTACATCTCATTTCCAAACCCTGCTTCTGAAGATTTCCCAAGCACAAAACCATGTCTGCAGAATTCCTCTGGTGGCAGATCTCTGATTCTTGAAGCTCCTGCACCATGTAGGCAATTACATTCTCAGAATCCTAAAGTTGGCCAATAAGTTCAACAATTCTCAACTGGCTGGTATCCTTCCGTTCTTCTGCCAACTTTTCTCAATTGACAATAGTTCAGTTATCTAACAGAGACTCTACTCTAACTAACTTCATTACGCCTTTTCAATCAGTTCAGGGAAAGTAGAAAGGAAATTATCCGCGTAACCAAACAGAACCAATTCAATTCGACCGCAAATAAAGCTCAAAACGTAAATCGACAGTTAAGGCATACCGTTGATGAGGAAGTGCTGCCGAATGATCCGTTTCACTCTCAAACTCTCCTTCCACGGCTGCCGTCCCGAAGCTCTCCCCCATTTCCTCGACCGTAGCGCACGATTTCGATTGCGCTCCGGTAACGTTCCCGTCTCCAGCTGCTTAATCGCCGGACTGCTCATCAGCGAGTTGGAATCATCGCCGGAGACTCTCGTTTCTACTCTTCTTCCGTCGAGGTCTGGGAGGAATCCGCCGGGGCTAGACGGTGGAGGATCGACCGATCTCAGCGTGAGGAGAAGCAAGCCGGTTGCTGTGAAGAGCACGACGACAGCGAGTACTGAAGTTAAGGACACTCTCCTCCTCCGTAATCCATAGTGCTTCATGTCACTCGAGAATCCGGCGGTGAGTACGGTCGGCGGTGACGGCGATTGAAGGACGCTATTCACTGAGATCTGGGACTGGGAGTGAGGAAAGAGTGAAGATGAGCTGTGGCAGCAGCACGTCGGTGGAATCTTTCAATTTCGCCGTGTTCTTATTTTTTCTTGGAAAATCTCTCATTTCTTTCGGCTGGCCCGCGGGAGCAAAAGGCGGTATCCGTGTCTAAGCCAACTATGCCAAATATAGTAGCACGCCCGTCACCTATTGTAAAACTCAAAAAATGGGTTCCCTCAAAAAAACTCAAAAAATGGGATTAAATTATGGCAAAATCATAAATTACTATTTTTACATGATTGGGAAATTGAAATAATTTCTTAACTATGAGATGATATTTGTAGTAATTTAGGGTTTGAAAATGGCATGCTGTCAAACTATACACAAATTTTTGGCTATATAGTTATAAATTTGTATAATCATAATTTGTATTTAAAAGAAAATTTTATTACAATGATGGAAGAATATAAAATTAACCTCATTAGAAAATTTATTTTTTAGGTAGGCAGAACAATAAGATAGTCCATTTGGTGGTTAAGAAAGCTCTCGCTTTGTCTCCGATAGTTTTGACTAGCTTTTTTTGTTAGAGAGTGATATAAGATTCATCATAACCTTCTCCCAACAACTCGAGTTATTGAGACCAACTGGTTTATGACATGGTATCAAAGCTGGTTTGACCAAGTGGTCGTGTGTTCGAATCTCCACGACCCCACTATTAACAGTTGATTAAAGCACAATGTATGGTGGCCTGTGCAAACTTCGAGCCCGTGAGTTGGCTTTCGTTTGAGGGGGCATATTAGAGAGTGGTATAATATCCATCATAACCTTCTCCCAACAACTCGAGTTATTGGGACCAACTCGATTGAAACCCATTGACAAAGAAGAAGCTGAAGAAGATTCTCCTCCCCTCGAGAACATGACCTTCCTCAAACTCCATTCGCCGCCATGTCCAGAACCCGATGCAGTCGCCGCCATCGACAGAACTACAATTGCCACCAGCTAAGGTAGTGGCGAGTAACCGAAGGCTGAGAATAAGGTAACAAACATAGTGGCTATGGACTACGTGATTGAACCTGATATTAGAATTCTATCGGGTCTGGCCGTAAGATTGGGAATTAGGGATTCATAACAGAATTAGGGATTTGAGAAGAGAGATAGAGAATCGGCCGAAGCCTTTAGAGGGATTGAGATCTAGAATTGAGAGGATTGGGAGATTAGGGTTTAGGAGAGTTTTCTTAATATTCTTCTTGACTGCCTATGAATGAAGGACCAATTACATATTTATAGCGAAAGACTAGAAAAACCTAATAGACTATCCTAATATGACTCATTGACTACTAATCATATCTAATAAAATCCTTATAATAATAATAATAATGATAATTATGATAGAACCCATAAATTGGGTTTCTATCATCCCCTCCCCCTTGAGACCAACCTTGCTCTCAAGGTTGACCGACTCGACCCACTTCTCCGCACCTTCTCGTCCAATGCGATCGTCGCTTATCCGCTTCTTGCGCTTTCTTGTATTCCAATTAGGCTCCAACTCTTGACTTGGAATTCTTGCACCCATCTTCTTGTGGTGACCCAGCTTTTCAAATCTCATTTCTACAGGCCACTATTCACTTCCTTATCAAACTCAATCTTCAATCGCTCCTCTATTATTGGCATCACCATCCATGAACTTAATGAATTCAAAGATTCAATCTTGTTCAAGAACCTATCTTTGAGTACCAACTCATCCAGACCTATAAACAGTTTTCTTGAAGTTAACCCATAAATTTATTGTGTTGCTTCTGTACCTGCTCTTGGCTAGGAATGGCAATGGGGCATGTCCGGGGCGAGTATCTCGATACCCATACCCGCCCCATGGCAGGTCGGGTCCAGGTCGGGTAATTTATTACGGGGCGCGGGTCGGGGCAGGTCGACCCAATGAGTATGTAATATATGTGAAAAACATTAGAAATATTTGTTATTTTCATTAAAAGACCAAGAAAGAAACCATAATATGATAAAATCTAGTTAAATTATTCAAGAAATTGAGGTTTTCACTTAATTGCAACTTTATTATAGCTAAAATATAATGTAATAAGAGGAAAATCCTAAGTAATTTGACTAAGATTATATGTAATTTAGGCAAAACCGGGTCGAGAATGGGGCGGGTCAGGGCAGGTCGGGTTGATGAGAGGTACCCATGCTCGCCCCGCCTACGGGGCGGGTTTGCCCCGCCCAAAACAGGTCAAACAGGTCGGGTAAATCGAGTCAGGTCGAAATTGCCATCTCTACTCTTGGCTCATCCTCTTTAATTAGGCCACTTGGGCCCAAGCCATCCAAAAGAGACTCCATAAGATAGACACTCAGAGGCCCAACCTCGCAATGGGAACGTGGCCCATTTCTCTCTGAAATAACGTTGGTCGCCCTCTTGACCGGCCCCGAACTGAGCCCATCTCTCTTCTTTCCATGATCCAAATTCAGCCCAAGGCTGACATTACATTTTGTCAGCAGAGGGCCCACTTGACTTGGCCCATCAATCATAGCCAAATCGGCCCATTTCACTTCAGTTGTTGCTAGTCCAAACGATGACCCACCCAAGCCATCTTCAAGCCCGACGACCCAAACAGCCCCAAAACCCACCATAAATGACTGTGGGGTGACTCGACCTAGGGTTGGCCACCCCGGTCTTGCGAGAAGGGGGAAACCATCGTCGTCCCCGTCGTCCTCCCTCTTCGCCCGCGACGCGCGCAGAGGCTCACCGCCTCCGTCTCTCTTCTCCATTTCCAGCGGCCAGCCGCTCATCCAACCGCGACGAGGCGAGTCCCGCTCCTCCATCGCCTTCAGCTCTTCCTCTCGGTTCGCCGTTGCTTCGAGGAGAGCCGCATCGCCCGCCCTTGCATTCGTCTTTCTGGCGAACAACTTCTTCTTCTTCCTCGGTGAGCAGAGCACTCTGCCGCCGCCACCGCGTTTCTTCTTCTTCCTCGGTGAGTAGAGTTTTCCGCCGCCGCCGTCCACCTTCTTTCCCCGCAGCGAGGAGCTGCTCATCGGGCGGCCGGAAGGCCAACCCACCTTTGGCTTCGACTTCTGGTTCGTCGTCTCGTCTGTCAGCGCCACGAATGGATCCTTCGACGGCTGCGGCGCTGCCTGGGCGACGTGGGACGCTTGAGAGTTAGCCCGGTTGTTCGTCGCCTCCTGTTGCTCACCCCTAAACTCCGGCTGACACTCCCAGCGGTACCGCGCCAGGGGCTCCTCATCCACCTTCATCTCGAGCGGTGAAGGAATGTCTAACGATGATGATGATTTCAGATGAACAACAGCCGCTATTGCAGCTGCCTTCCCGACGCTAGAGCGTCTAATTCATATTAATCAAATGTTCATGGGGAACTCCCATTACATCATGGCGAAGCCATTGAACTAAACCTGAATCTCACACATTGAGATTGAGTGTGCCAAAATGAAAATTGTGGCCGAGATTCGCCAAGTAATCGGCTGCAAAATTGGTCTCTCTGTACACATGTTCCACAATAACCTCCCACTTGAGTTTGAGGTTGAATAGCTTTGATTGTTTGTGTTTGACTCCTTTAGAGTCGTAAACGTTATACCTTTTTATTATTTACTAATGCAAGCTATCTTTGGGTTTCAAAAATATAATGAAATTTCGTTTTAATTTCAAAAGACATAAAGCTTACTTTTTATGTTTAGATTTTGAAATCAACAATAATTTGGAAATGTATCCGATTTTCATAGATTAAATACCTAACTCCCTGCATATCCTTGTTATGATAGAGGCAGAGCGTGATCATCCTACTACTTGTACAAACACGCTCGACTAGTTGAATCTAATTATCTAAAGATGTATAGCCTACATCATTAGTTAGTATTTAAATTATCTCTCAAGGTTGTGCTTGGAAGCTGAACGGATCATCCTTATGCTCGTACCACACATGTGAGTGATTGAATATGAGGATACACGAGCTAGAGTCCTTTTTAAACACACCTAACAAATTAGTTACTTTACCTCATTCCATGAAATTTTAGAATTCAAAGGTTTATTTCTACTCTAAATAACATTTGACATCATTGAAACAATGTTAGATGTTCTCATTAACCAAAACTGCAATTTTGAAACATATCATACCAAACTTGCGAGAAGACATGTTATTTAACAACTATAATGCCTCGTTTATATTTGTTTGTACATTGTGGCTCATAAAAATGGATTTTAACACTTCAACACAATCTTATGTTGTTGGTTAAAGTAATGGACGGAATTTTCGTTCAATTAATTGAACTATATGAACAGAGGTGCATAAATAAAACTATAGTATACATGTTTTTTTGTTTGAATTTCATGAGTAATTGCGATTGTATTGTTGCAATAATAACTTTTAATTGATCGATTATAGACGGCGTACAAGCAAAATAACACCGTCACTAATAGAGGCATATACTTTGGGAGAGTTATTTAGTGCATTGATCGGTCCTCAAAATGCCATATTTAGTTTTCATTGTAGCAATGTATACTAAGTTTAATGAGTGAGTTCCGAAAAGATAAAAAAGAAAAGAAGTAAAAAATTATATCTGCCCATTAAAATGTAAATTACAATAATACAATCTTTGATCTCACGATGATTATGATGTTGAAGTTCCCCCAAACCTACAAAGACAACACTACTAATTAGCAAAAACCAAATTAATCCACTAGTTAACCATAGTCATTTCCAAGTAATTAACAACAATCATCTCCTCCTGGCTATGGAACTAGCGTTCCCCTCGAACAGCTCCTCCACACAATTCTCTATATCCTCCGCCTGATACTTTACATACTTCTCGTATTGCCTGCCGGGAGTAAAATACTGGGAGAACCTCCCTAGAAACGCCCTGTACGCCGGAATCACCACTGCCGCTATCGACACCCGGAGCTCTGACTGCAACTGTTCGTCGCTCACCACCCACTGGCTCTGCGTCCTGTGTATCTCATCGAACATGATGTTGAAGTTCTTGAACCTCTCTTTCAACACGGTCTTGGACACTTTCCCATGCACCTGCACGCCCTCCTGTGCCAGACACCCTAGCAACTTGCTCCACGTCTCCCTCTGGTACCCCTTGTGGTAGTTCCGGAGGTCCGACGATTTTCGACGGCACCACGGATCCCCCATAACGCAGTGGATCTCCGGAGAGCTCTTGATTTTTTGTAAAATATACCGCCCATTGTTCATCATGAAGATGCAGCAGAGGGATACGTCTCTGTAGAGCTGCGATTTCGACTCTAGGTTTTGATCTAGGAAATCCATGATCCTCGCCAGCTGGCCCGCGAATGGTGACTGGTTGTTGTCCTGGTCACCGCCTCCTCCAGCTTGATTCGAATCGCCTTCGAATCTAGGCCGGCTCGTTGAATCTGCACGCTCGATTTTGGAATGGTCTCTAAAAACATTCTCCAGAGTCGATTTGTACTCAAAGGCGTATTTCAGGTAGTTCATCGTGTAGCGGGTTAACGGATGGACGGCGCCGCCGGGGACCGGAGTCTTTCCATGGTCGTTTTTGATTGAATGCTCCAGATCGCTGAAGATGTTAATTGCTGCTTCTCCGATTCTTCCCTTTACCGTCGTGGCCTCTGTTTTCAGCTCGCTCTCAGACTCCTCCGGGTACAAGCCTTCGATTGCAGCGAATCCATCTCGCAAGGTTTCATACATGTCGAGGAATTTGAAGAGCTTCTCCGTGGATCTCTTAGACATGGCAACTCCTTCGGCAAAATTGAGGAACTGGATAAGAATTCCTCTGCTTAGGTTGCTGAAGAGGGAGATGGAGAGGGAAGGGTAGTTTGAGAAAACGGAGTGGACTAATTTGTGCTCTTTGGGGAAATGGACGCTGGCGCATTCTTTGATGATGGAAGTCATGATCGGGATTTCCCGCTCGAGATTCTCCCACGCCATCTTCTGGACATCGTCGATGCTGATCTTCTCGAATCCTGACTGGATTAGGGTCTCATCCAAGGCGTGCCGCCGTACGATCATGTACACCTGGCAACACTCCGATTCGTACCCACCGGCGATCATCTGGCTCGCGATATTGCTCAGATTCGTCACCGTTTCTTCACTGTACCCAGGATACGGCGATTCCTTTTCTTCCTCTGGCTTCGATTGCGATTCTGGCAGCGGACTCCCTTCCTCACCGGTTTCTGCCGCTTTTGCTGATGATGATTTTCCCGCGGAATCTGGTTCTTGTACCGGTTGTTGATTGGTATGCTCTTGGAGAAGAAACCCGAATTCATCCTCCAAATACGACATTGCTCGTTGGTGAATTGATCCGATCCGGTTCACGAGATGAGCGTGATCTGGATCCGATCGAAACTCGTTAAGCGAACTCGCTAGCCTGGAGAAACGATTCACGATCTCCATGAACGACGCATCATCATCCGGCGAGAGGCACCACTTCCCCCCTCCGCCTCCTCCTTTCCCGTCGGAAGATGAATCACGATCCCTGATCTTCCCGTCGACCAGATCCACGTACTTCTCCACAAATTCCGGCATCAAGATGGTCGATCTCTTCTTACAGATTTGCTTTTCTTTTTCCTCCTCCTTCTTGCCTTCTTCATCATCAGGTCCCGCCTCTTCCGAATCCGGCTTATGTTGGCGGGAGCCGGCTTCTTTCTCCCCTGAAATCGGATCCTCATTCTTCTCATCCTTGTCTTCCGTCTCCTGCTTCTCATCGTGCTCCTTTTTCTCTTCCATCTCCCCCACTAATGTTTCCTGAGAGGAAACCACCATCTTTCTTTCTGAGAGAGTGATCAGGAAATGGTCGATGTCAGGAGAGAGGGTTTGCAGGGTGAGATGGATTTCCTCGTCAAGATTAGGAGGCGGCGGATCATGTGAAACGTCACCGTTTTGGTCAGGGCTTGAGGCGGAGCCATCCTTGTCCGCGTCGTTTCCGGGATCAGAAGAAGAGGAATCACCAAGGAGGTGGCCGCTGCGACTGTGGTGGATGTGCGGTGCGGGTGATGCATCGTCGTTTCCATCTGCGGCGGCTGATGAATCAGGGTCGTCCTTGTTGTTGTTGGTGGTGTCTGTAGGTTTGGCAGCGTCAGGATGAGCCTGTTCAGAATTAATGTTCGATTCCATTAACGTTTTTCCTTTTGTACTTTTCGGGTGGAGGGGGATGGGGAGAAAAAACGCTCAGAGAAGTTGGAAGATTTGTTGTTTGGAGGAGAAAGGGGAAAAACTGAGAGATTGTTGTTTTGTTTAAGTGATTATCTTCAATCCTTTTTCGTAATTTTTTGTTTTTGGGTGGAGTTTTGTGCATTTGGGTTTTTTGAGCAGGAGAAAGGGTCGCTGGATCGGGGGAATGTACGGACAAGAATGGGTGGAAATTTTGGAGAGGTGGATTCGTGTAGTTTGCTTGTAATTTTTATTCTATTGAGTTGGGAAGGGATTAAGTAACTATTGACCAGGCAAGCAGGTTAATAGCTGGATTATAGATAGATAATACAAACAAAGTGGGAGATCTCGGAGATGTCGATTTGCATATAGATATATAATAATAATAATAATAATAATAATAATAATAATAATAATAATAATAATAATAATAATAATAATGATGGTTGGTGAACAATATTTCAGACGTGCGCCCCAATGCTAATCACAATCCATTGTGACAGTTAGTTGATGACAAGTATGTTCAGTTTATTACAATCATATCCCAAATGCTAATTATACATTGATTTGATAGATAACACGAAGCATCCTACGAGTTCCTATCATAATCATATATGATATTCTAAACGAGACACTAATAATAGATTGATTTGATTAATTAAGATGCATATATTCTAAGGGCCTGAGCCACCACTTATGTATAGATCATCCTTATATCAAACAATTCCTTAGTCCAATGTTGTCAATAATTAGGATGTTGGTCCGAAATGCATTTATGGGAGAAATTCATTTGTACTTTTTTTATTTGAACATTATAACTACGGACAAAATCCACCTCGTATGAATTGTTTAATTCTCCCCTATTTTCTATATATAAATTAGTTCACTACTTATTTCATTTATGATAACAAACTTAATTACATTCTTAGAATAAAATTATCATGAACTGACTAAGAGATATATGTAAATTAGTACATATATAAAAACCTATTGAATATTCTATTTCTATAGTATGTTCAGATAGAAGAATATGAATTTGATATTTAGATTATTTGTTTATTAGGTGGGGTGGATATTATGGACGTGTCGTGGAAGTTCGACTTTAACTAGCTTCCCCTCATATTGATGGCACGAGACATTATGGTATCATCGTTGAAGATAGATATTGAAGCCAGAATCATGGATTAACAAGTCACCAATAGCTAGCTAGTTCGTTATCTAAATAATTAGTAGAGTTGGTAAACTATGACTATGAGAATGAGATCAATGAACTCCGATGAGGATGAGCCGACAGGACAATATTCCGACGACACCCTCTCTTTCTCCATAGTAGAAATGATGGGGGTGGAGCTACGGGGTCAACAGCATTACATGAGAGCAGTAATTAGCGTCAGTAGTTTAATTGTATGAGATTCTCATTTGTTAGAGCAGTCAACATGCTTAATTATAGTTACACGAAGAAGACACGCAAAGTATAATTAACTCAATTAGTGATAAATGTCAAAGAACCCTAGATATGTTGATGGATCATGGGCATGGCCACATGCATCCTTACATTTAGGGCCTTATAATTAGTGACCAATATTTAACCACCACTTCCATGTTATGACTGCATGAAATTAAATAGCATCCGCTTATATATATACACCTATTTTCCCTTTGTGTTGGCTTTTAGTCATGGCCTGGCTTAGTCATGTGGTGTAAATATCATTCCATCAGATGCATGCATGGGAAGAAGTCGTCGGATATGCAATTACTCTACTGAGCTGATGGGCATGCAAATAGGAAAAGGGACATATATCCTTCCCTTCCCTAGGTGCTGCTGCTGGGCCTTTCCCAGGGAAAGAGACACAGAGAAAGGATGCAAGAATTGGAACAGCAAAGGCAGATTTAATGCAGTCATATCTGATTTTGAAGTTTTTGAAAGGCCAAGAAAGTAAATGTTCAGTAAGAAAGTTACTAATGGCCGGTGACGCAAGTGCTGTTTAGTTTGGAGGAGCTTCTTCGTTGCCCTTAATTAAAAGAATGGCTTTGATTTGAGCTTCCTATCTCACCCAATAGTTTCCACTTGGAAGCAATTCAAGTTGATTGCAAGTGACGAAGACTAGCTATAACGTAAAGGGAAATTAACTTACCTAGTTAGCTATACATGTTTGTGCTCTATCGTAAACAGAGCAATCAGATCAGCAACTGAGGCATATATATATGTGGCAACTTAATAAATACTGTCTGTTTGGGGTTGATTGATTCTTAATTTGCACTTTGTTGGACTACACACAACTCTTCTTCTACATATATGATGACTACATCATCATTCTAGTAGCCAGACACAACGTAATTAACTTGTCAAGTCCTCCATCTTCCTTCTTCTAGCTCTCCATCGAACTTAATTGATTAATTCAGTCTAGTGGAGTGGTTATGCCCAAGATAACTATTTGCCTATCCCTAAATAAGCTAGCTAACCGGCCGGCCAGTTGGTTCACAAAGTCATATATAGTCAGTGGCGGATCAGGCATTCTACTTAGGGGTGTCCTCTATAAAATATTAAATTAAAATAAATATTAGCATTAAATTAAATATTTTGAAATTTTGAAAATATCTAACTAATAAAAGTTACATTAAAAGTTTAGACGTGTTTCGTAAAATGATAAAATGCATTCGGTGTTTATACTGTTCAACAAATATCTCTCGACATATCCTACTAGACAAGGGTATCTCGTAATTGAGTTTAATCGTCAGGTTTTGAAAATAATTTGAGATAAGAATAACATTTTACTATTATATTTGGATCTAAAACACAATAACAAAAGGTTTGTAGCGTAGTTGAAAATATATTAACTAATAGTGGCAGTGTCCCAAGTTTAAATAACATAAACTACTATTTAAATATTGTGTGTACCAATACGCAAATTACTACGAGAGGTTGGATAATCATTTTCTCAAATTTTAAAGGTGCCCCACTACCACTTAAACATTTTTTTCTCATATGTAAACTACTATCGTAGGTTGAATAATCGTGTTTCAAAATTTTAGGGGTGTCCTGGGACACCCGTAAACATGCATGTATCCGCCACTGTATATAGTGTATGACTGACTTGAAATGTTGTCAAATTAATTAATAATTGAATTGAAGCACCACCACTTAGCTTAAATTATCATTCTCTGCCATGTTATGTTATGTTATGAATGCATGAAACCATTCAAGTACGTATACACCAATATAATAGTTGGGGTATACTTCAAACTGCAACTCCCATCAAAGTTGAATTTAGTTGGACAAGCTAGCTAGATATATAGCTTCCTTGTTCCTTCCCTTCCCTCCCCTCCCCTCCCTGTGTTAGCTAGCTAGCTAGCTTCCCTATGCACATGCACTGCTCCTTTATTATTTGATATCTTCTTCCACTGTGGATGTCTGTTTGTTAGGTTAGGATATGCGAATACTTTAGGCTAGGTAGCTGCTGCTGAGCATGCAAATAGAAACAAGGAACACATGCAGAGGTTAAAAGAGACAGAGAAAGGATATACGAATTGGAACGAGCTAAGCTAGCAAATTAAGAGAGAAATTAAGGCAGATCATAGATCATGCATTTCTGTAACAAAGTTACTTACTAATGCGGCCGGCTATATATATATATATATTCAAAGAGATCACTGCCATCAATTGTTTTCTATTCACACAAACAGCGTAAAACGGTCAGCTTCTTCAATTCGTTACCCTTAAAGGAATGGCTTTGATTTTAGCTTTTCCCCCCAACAGCTTCTACTTCGAAGCAAGTTGATTGTAAGCTAAGTGAAAAAGACTATAACATAAAGGAAGAAATTGGTTGGGAAGGTGCGTCCATCCATCGGCCTAATAACATTAATATTGCCTCTGTCTCTGTGTGCATTTTGGGGCACGTACCCATCCATAGGCCTTTCTAACGATCGAGATGATAGATGACAGAAAATTAAGGGTTTCCATGGCAAAGATTTTGAGACCCTACACTATCCAATGCATGCCCCAAATATAGACTCAACCCGGTTCCGTTAAGAAAATGACACAAATTAATTAAGCTTATCAATGTGCCATTTCTCACCACTAAAAAATAAGTTGGTAAACCTAACACTTCTCACAGGCAGTTCCCTATCACTTGATTCAATTCACTTCTCATTCACTTGTTTGATAACAGGAATTATGAAATCTGAATAGAATAATTCCAAATTTCCCCAAATGAAATAATTATCAAATCAATTTCAATCAAATTTGATTCAATGACATATTGTTCATAAAAGGAGCGCATTAAACCCTTATGAAGGATTGTGAGGTTTAAGATTTAGTTTCATACTATCTATAGGTCATGTGGAATTTCATTGAGCTTTTATACCCTCTTTCTTGACAATCAACTAACCAATAGCATTTTAACGAGGGCTTAATTATTATTATGAAAATGGAATTAATGATACATTTTATATTTTATATTCTTAAATGATGATGGTACTTCTCCAAATGTTAGACCATTATATTCTTTCTTTATGTATCATCTGGATCAAAGAATTGTCAATAAAATTAAACCGGTTGATTGACTTAAACGTAACATAAAAATATAAATAATCAAATAAGAACATTCCGGCCA